GCCATTGCTGATTTCAATTTTGTATATTCGACAATTTTGTTTACAAAATTTCACAAGGTTTGCTAATTACTAATGGCATTGTGTCCGTTACCGAATAGTGACAAAATATCGATGTATATGCATTGTCGCTTGTCCCAATGCTCGCATTTAGCGACAAAATTTGTATTTTGTCTTTAAAATCTCTCGTAAGGTCGTCACCAATCCATTGTTGCTGGCGACGGAAGCTATTCTATCATTACTTTTCCATCTCGAAAACATTCCCGATCCGTTGTTATATGATTTATTTTTTGTTTTCTCGTTATTCGATCGCTATTCGGTAAGTAAAGGGCGATGAATTGAAGTCGTCGCTATTACATATTTTCTTGTAGTGAAAAACTTTCTTCCAATTATTAAAAATCCTAACTCCAACTCATCCAGAGTTCGGTGAACTTGATTCACTATTTCATGTCATGGAACAACTAATTTTTTATTTTCTTATTAGAAAGATGGAGAAAATGGTTATAGTAGATTAGGATTTATAGTCGACTTTCATCATCTTTTCTAATATGGCCTGGTAAAATAATATATCTCTATAATTTACAATTTAGAATAATGAACCAGATTCACTTTTTTTTTTTGTGCGCTTAGTGTGAAATTAATAACATGGTGTTTTGCACAGTTTTGGAAAAGAAATTCTTTTGTAACTCACTCTTGTCTATTTCATGAGCAATAATTTTCACACCAATGTTAACATAGAGTTGTCAGTGTTTTTATAGAGGGTTTCAAGCAAATTAAAAAAAAAAAAAAAGATATCAATTAAAAAAATCAAAGTGGACGGAGACCAAAAATGTGAAGTAAACTTTTTTTATATTCACAAACCGACAAGATTAAGGAAAAAGTTTCAACTTCATTACTGAAATCCTCAATTTCATGATAATTTCTTCATGCTATTATAAAAATGTTGCCAAACAGGGTAATAACGCGTTTAGTGTTTGTTTCCTGACTCAGCTCGCAAAATTGGCCGTTCAAAACACAAGTTGCTCAATAAGAAAGAATTTCACTAATATATGAAATAACAAAATTAATTGCCACTCACACAAGTAGTCTTTGTTTCAATTTTTTTTTTTTTTAATTCGAGAATTGACTATTTTCGATATTTTTTTATAAGTTCAAATTGATCTTAAAATAAAGATTCCAAACCTCTCACATTCTTGAAATACGAAAAAAATTGATATAAATTTTGTTAATGATCACGAATAGATTTAAAAATAAAAATTAAAAATAAAAATTAAAATTTTGATGGAAGTCCAAAACTCCTGTTATTGAGCCACTTCCTGTGGTTTTGTTTCATTTCTTTAAATAAATATTATATGCATGTTATATTAAAAAAGTATATATACATTTGGTAAAAACAAAAATCATTTTAAGAAAAAAAATTATTTTAGGGAAAAAAAAAAAAACAGAAACATTAGACGACCAAACAGTCAAAAGTAGACTACATAGTGCTCATGGACCAGAGTTTCGCGTGACTTGACAGCTAGTTCAGTTAACTTCTAGTAATTAACAAGGAATCCAAAACGAGTTCCCCAACTCTGGACCTTGTCTTGATTGAGTACACCGAAATTGAACAGAATGATTAATTTTTTTTTTAAATGGTCATGAATAATAACTGAATGGTTGGTTTGATTGTTGTTATAATTATGATTATAGTTATGGTTTTAATAATTACCGAACCAAAAAGAATATATTTATTTTTATATATGTTTTTGTATAAATATTGAAATGTTACAATTGTGTTATTGATTATACATAATTACTAATTCATTTTATGCTTTGAGAATGACTAATTTTAAACTTTTAAGGTGGTATTGAGACTCGTCTCATGTTTATTTTTTATACTGTTGTTATTATTATAAATATATATTTTATGTGGTTTAACATATTTTTATGTGTAAAAACTAAAAGTGTCCACGTTGAATAATAATAGACAAAAAATAACCGATATCCCATATTCTTAGAATGTTTTTAAATTACAATAAATCTCATATTATTTAAAAGTCTAAAATACCCTTATTTATTTATTCATTTCTCTTTATAAAGCAATTAATTTTCTCCAATTAGGATATCTTTTAGTTTTTTCTTTGTTGTTTGAGAATTAGGAATCGGGAAGAGAGCTCGGAATTGCTTGACAAATTATTTTGTTTTAGAAGCAAATAATAAAATAAATAAATAAGGGTATTTTAGACTTTTAGATAAAAAGAGATTTATTGTAATTTAAAAACATCCTAAGAATATGGGATATCAGCTATTTTCTGTCCGTTATTATTTAACGTGGATACTTTTATTGAGCAAGTGTTTAAAAGAGAGTGTTGCTAGCACTCCTCTTATTATAAATATATATTTTATGTGGTTTAAAATATTTTTATGTGTAAAAACTACTTGATTATCGTTATTATTACATTTGGCACAAAGTATGGCGAGAGATAGGAGTTGATAATTATCAAAAACCCTAAAAACAATAACAACGAGTAAAGATGTAGAGAAAGTTTCAAAGTCCGTAATTTCTTGTTTAATGATAACCGATGGTCATAGGCTTAAAAGTAGCATAAACGAGTCTATCAATTACAAAATAATAATAATAATAATAAGTAACAAATCTAAAAGTATTCAAAACTTAAGTAAAAATAAGGAAAATGATAAATAGTAAAACTATAATTTCTAATAGTAATTTGGGATATCTTAAAGGTTTAGAGCACAAAAAGTCAAAAAGATCTAGAAATAGGTCTTCAAATTGGATTTTTACATCGAAAGTAGCCTATAAAGCTTTACCCTCAACACCTATATATATATATATATATATATATATCGTAGCTTCGTAGAAATCAAATACTAGAAGCTGAAAAACTCGATCTTCAAATCTTTTCGGGTTTTTAGATCGAGTTAAGAGCAGATACAAACCAATAAACATGAGTTTGTTAGAGCCATTAGAAACTAACTTAATAAGATATAAATTGTTTGTTGCAGAAAGACATATATATATGATTTATAAAAAAAAAAAGTATAATTTAGACCAAATCCGTGAATGAATGGAATAGAAAGACTCAATTTATTGAGATTTTTCTAAATTAACTTTCTCAAGAAGCTTTTGAAGAGTTTAGAGAACAACATCTAGATAATGAGTTTAAATCCAAAAGGTAAAACATTTATGCGAGAATTAAATTTCTAGTAAAAAAAAAAAATCAATTAAGGTGTAAATGATTTGTTTAAATCCTACTAAAAGTTTTTTAAGTTTCTATTTAATAAGACTAATACTAAATCGAAATCTACGCCAAACAAAAAATAGAATAAACAACTGGTGGGGTAAGGGATGACCGATCGATGGCTATGCATTTTAAAGACTTTTAAGGAATCTTTAGAGTTTCAATCAGTCCTTAACGGTATAGCTTATATCAATAATCCCATGTTTTGGCAGTCCCTCGTGAACAGCCGGAAAGTGAGTTGTCTTAACCATTGATTAGTTGAGAAGGAAGGGATGACGTGTATACACTTCATTCTCACGTCATGATATCCTAAGAAATAATATCGTTTTTTTCAAGAGGTGTTTCTTTTGCGTATAATCTTTTTTTCTCCCCTATGTTTGTTTCTTGTAAAATATTTTACGAAAAACCATTCAAACATACATAAAATATTTTACCATCATCCTTTAAACTTAATTCATTTATTGAAAAACATTTTCAATTCATGAAGTTTCATAAAATATTTTATAAATAATTATTTATTTATAATATTATCAAACTATTTCAACTATTTACTGTCACCATCATCACACCGTCGTGCCATTATTACAATCTCGTCATCGCCTCCACTCCATCATTGCTAGCTGCCACAACTTTACTACAACAACCACCATTTTCGTCGTACTGCAATCATCACCATCAATCATCGCCACTACTCCACCACCCGCATCGATACTGTTCCATCTCCACCACCGATACCATTCCACATCCACGACCTTCAATGCTGCTACTACAAGACCACCATTTATATTCATGAAATATAGTAGGGGAAGAAGATTTAGCTAGAAAGAGTTAAGAAAGAGAGAGAGAGAGGGAGTGAAAAAAGAGAGAGCAAAGAAGAGAGAAAACAAATTATATTCAAGAAATATTTTACGAAAAAACAACACCGGCTTAGCAGTTAATTAATTCTATACAGTCCACACTCATTCGACATTTCTCAAGCAATAAGCCAATTAATATTGGGTTTTGCAAATGCATGATCCCTAGCTAGGAAAGAACATTTCCAACCAGACCATGCCAGACAGTACTTTACCCGCACACGTGTATGCACAGGTTAATTGTCGTCTCCTTCTAATAATTTATTAAAGATCCTTTTGATATTTATTTACGAGTAGTTTTTATTAAATATCCATATCATGTACTAATCCACGTTACCTCGTGTTTAATACTTGAAAAATTAGGAATAATGAGGCTTGAATTCAAGACTTCTGATCAACAAAACTACGATACCATATTAAAGGATCATCTCATCTAAAAGCTTAAGCTCGATAAGTGAGGTCTCAAAATATAATTTATAATAGTCTCTAATAATTTTTTGACGAAAATATAGCAATTTTTTCTATTCGTATGGAGATAATTGAAAATAATTTAAAAATAAAAATAATTAAGAAAAATTTTAAACATACTTATATTGTCAATTAGTCATATCATACATGCAATCATCTGCTACATTGATTTGAGTTATTTCTAATAATTTTTATCTGTGGATGACAGAAGCTATATACTTATCTTAATTTTAACAAAGGCAAGTGCAGTTTTGGATGGGTCGGGTTAAAAAATGTGACATCAGATAGCGCATCACATGGAAGTGTGAGTCATTTTGTGGACCCCATCTCTCCTATAATTTGCCCGATAATCATCCATCGATCTTTGTCCTAACTCTGGCACTGAACCATTATATATATGGCCATGGAGACCTTCCCTTTTGCAGCAACGAACCACAAAATGGAAATGGCGGTGGATGAGAGGAATATGGCTGGCAATGGGAAAGAGAAAGAGGAGGAGGAGAAGGAAGATGGTAAAAGGAAAAAGCTGGGAGGGGTAAAAACAATGCCGTTCATCCTCGGTGAGTTAGCATTCTTGAGTCGGTATTGTGAATAAATTTTTCCTTAATTCACCCCCTCCTTGTAAAGAGATAATGCCATAGATGGCATTTACAATTAGCTTTTTTTTTTTTTTTTTTTTTTCATTTTTATTAGTGGAGTAATCAATATTAAATCAGCATTCGTTTTTTCAGTGCTTGAGCTAACACTACGTGACATGCTAGTCAATCTCATAACTATAGGATTTTGATGATTTAGATTAATTCTTATTATATTGAAATGTTTGTAGCGTTAGCAAAGACAATTGCGGAATTCTAAACTTTAAAGGCAAGAGAGTTGTCTTGGTTTGATTAAAATTAAGATTTAGTTTTTATAATTAACTATAATTATTCTTTAATGATATCAATCTTGAGCTTATTTGGTCTACGAAAGAATCTGATGATTGACTAAAAACTAAACGTATTCTAGCACTATCTTAGCCTAAGAAGTGATAGATTTAGTTTTTATTAATATAGAAGTGGGCTCGAGAATATCCTATTATCTTTTTATATATATATAATTCTAAGGTTGGAACAATGATTTAAGATTAATGGTGTTTTACTTATGAATATATATATTCTCTAGATATGTAGACATTTTTCCAATTAATTAAAGATGATATCCAGCTAATTAGAGTGTATATGGTACTGTGGTGCAGTGATTTTGTAAAAATACATTTGTATAGAAAAAATATTAAATTGATGTGTCACTGTGCACTTTTGAATGGTTTTTCAGTTCATATATATTTTAAAAAATACCTTCAAATGCTGTTCAGACACAACTGATCCTCTAGTTTCATATTTTCCTTGGTGTTTGAAATTTTCAGACAGAGAAGTGTGAAACTACTGTGAAAATGTGGTCAATTTTTTTTTTTTTTATTTATCAACAGATTTGATCCCATTTGAACAATTAAAAAATTATTATTTTTTTTAAAAAAAATGTCCTTCAACTATATAAATAGTTTTAATTTTATACCTAAACATTTTTTTTTAATTAATTTTATCTTTCAAGTTTCAAAAATTCTCAATTCAATCTTTCTATCTATGTTTGGTCATGATTTCCATCTTAATTCCACTCTTTTTTTTTTTTTCGTTAAAAACATTATCGTTTTGTAAATTAAGAACTAACATTTTATGTTGAAGAATTCTAATAAAAAGATTGAATAGATAAATCATAATTGCTTGCAGAGAAAACTAATGTACAAATTTATTTGGAGGTAAAATTGACAATATATGACGTTTTTGAAGTTTGCCCAAAAGGGAAATAACTTGCATGTTTACGTATAAGAGAGAAATTGTTTATGGAAGGCAGAACATTAAATTAATAAAGTGAACTCTTTTTTTTTTTTAATTTCTATGTCATCACTGTCCTAATAATTTTTCTACTAATGGTGAAACGTCTCTCTCATGCACAATAATTATATTTATGGTTTTTTTTTTTTTTTATTCATCGTGAGGTTCGGAAGTTTTAAATTTCATAACATATATATGATAATTTTCTTTGATTACATAATAATCAAATAATTAAACTAAATTATTAAAATTCAAATTTTTTTACTAAAAAAGAAAACTAAATATGCAGTCGTTAACCTATAACTTTTTTTATGTACTTCTATGTTATGCTGGAATACTCGTTATCCAACCTTTTTTTTTAAAAAAAAAAAGAATTTGCGATACAACCTTAATAATTATAACATCCTTAATTTGATACGCAGGAGGAGACCCCCAACTTTTTCTAATAGAATTTAATTCTTACATATGGCTCAAAATCATTTTTTTTCTTTTTTCTATAATTAATCTTCTCAGCAGATTTAATTACATTTGCTTTATATTTAATAGATCGAGTTCTAATATATATTAAATCAATGTCACTATCGAAGCAATCTATCATTAGATGTAGCACTCATTAATTTGAATGATATTTTCGAATTAATTTTTAGATATTAAAATTAAATTTATTCTATAGATTTAATAGATAGATTATTATTCAAATCAAATTAAATTGAATAATTCATTATAATTCATAATTTATAATCTTGCTATATTACTATATATTAACATTGATCCTTTTGTTTTTATTTATCTAATTTGATACAGCAAATGAAATATGTGACAAGTTTGCTGCTACTGGTTTTTATGCCAACATGATAACGTACCTGACCCAGCAGCTGAACTTGCCTTTGGTTAAAGCCTCTAACACTCTCACCAACTTTGGTGGGACTGGTAGCTTTACCCCACTTATCGGAGCTTTGATCGCCGATTCTTATGCCGGCCGGTATTGGACCATCATCGGTGGTTCCATTATTTACGAACTGGTAACTTCATCTCTCTGTGTTTATGCTAATAATGAAATGTTTTTTTTAAAAAAAAAATTGATGAGATAGGCATATATGTATATATATGAATGTGAATCCATGTCAATTATAAATGAAATCACCAACTTGCCAGAATAATAATTTAACATGGAAATGGATAGAAAAATCTTCACTTGACCAGTGTTTTATTTTTTTGGCCGCAGGGAATGATCAGCCTAACAATGTCAGCAATACTCCCATCACTGAGGCCACCTCCATGTCCATCTCAAGTGAACTGCAAAGAAGCCTCAAACTCTCAGCTATGGGTCCTGTATATGTCATTAATCCTCACATCCATTGGCTCTGGTGGCATCAGGCCCTGTGTTGTTACCTTCGCCGCAGACCAATTTGACATGACCAAATCAGCTGTTGGGTCACGAAGCTGGAATTTCTTCAATTGGTACTATTTTTGCATGGGAGTGGCCACACTGACTGCCTTGACTGTTGTAGTTTATATTCAAGACAATGTGGGTTGGGTTTGGGGCCTTGGAATCCCAACTCTAGGCATGGCGTTATCCATAGTAGCCTTTATATTTGGTTCTTCACTTTATTATAAATTGAAACCAGGAGGGAGCCCTTTGCTTAGACTGGTTCAAGTCATTGTTGCTGCTGTGAAGAACAGGAAAGAAGTAGTGCCAGAAGACCCCAGTCTGTTGTACCAAAATAAAGAACTTGATGCTGCTATTTCTGTCAATGGAAGGCTTTTACACACCGATCAGTTCAAGTAAGCTATGCTAAACAGAATAGGTAGTTTTTTTCTATTCAACGGTCCGGTGATTAGGGCCATCCCCATCCCCACCTCACCCTAGAAAATGTCGCCCCATTCCCGCTTCATGCCCCGTTCGGAGTGATATGTTGCATTCCATCCCCACTCCAAATGGAGTGGGAAGGGGCCTCGTTAGATTGTCATTCCTAAAGACAAAAGGATGGGATGAGGGTGGGGATGGCTATCTCCGTCCCCGCCCCACCCCAGAAAATGTCACCTCATCCCCATCTCATGCTCCGTTCGGATGATAGTTTGCGTATCATCTATGCCTCAAACGGGATGGGGTGGGGCTCCATCAGGATGAGTCAGATTGCCATCTCTACTGGTGATATGCTCGGGTTAGTTTGGCATACGGAGACCGGGTCAAAGCGACCTAATAAATTTGTTGCATCTGTGTTGGCAGGTGGTTTGACAAAGCTGCAATTGTAAAAAATGATGATGAAAAAGATTCGAAGTCACCAAATCTATGGAGGCTTGCCACTGTCCACCGAATCGAGGAGCTGAAATCCATCATCAGAATGCTGCCCGTTTGGTCAGCAGGAATCCTACTTGTAACAGCTTCTTCACATCTCCACAGCTTTGTTATTCAACAAGCTAGGTCTATGGACCGTCACTTGTCCCACTCCTTCGAAATCCCACCAGCTAGTTTGTCCATCTTCAGCATCCTAACGATGCTCACAGGACTTGTTCTATACGAACGTCTTTTCGTCCCCTTCGCTCGTCGCTTCACAGGAAACCCTTCAGGCATCACTTGCCTACAAAGAATGGGCATAGGATTCTTCATTAACATAATTGCAACCGTCGTTTCAGCATTAGTTGAGGTCAAAAGAAAACAAGTCGCGGCACATTACAACCTATTGGATTCTCCTAAAGCCACGATCCCAATAAGTGTGTTTTGGTTACTTCCTCAATATATCCTCCATGGAATAGCGGAAGTTTTCATGTCCGTAGGGCACATGGAATTTCTTTATGATCAGTCACCCGAAACCATGAGAAGCACGGCTGCCGCACTCTATAGTCTAGCAATTTCCATGGGGAACTACATAGGTACACTCATTGTGTCCCTTGTTCACAAGTATACTGGCCAGACAAATAATTGGTTGCCTGATAGGAACCTCAATAGGGGAAAATTGGATAACTATTACTGGCTTGTAACAGGGATTCAAGTTATAAATCTTGTGTATTATGTGATTTGTGCTTGGTTTTACACTTATAAACCTTTAGAAGAGGTCAAGGAAGAAGATGCTGAAGTAGCAGCTGAAGATGAAATTCAACATAAGCGGCTGAATGATGCTAAAGGGAATGGAGAGTTAGAGCTTGGCAGAAATGTGATCGTATAGAATTATTTAGAAGATTAAAGCTAGTCATGTAAATTCTGCTTAGTTACATTACAATGGCCAAATAAACCGCAATGTTAAGCACCTTCCTCAGTTTCGATCTTTTTCCTTCTTTCTTTCTAAATTAAATCAGAAATATAAATGTTATGAAAAATGGGAATGAAGATTAAATATTTAGTGTTATAAATTACTATTCATATAACCTATTCTGTGTATTTACTATAGCAATGCTTTTTTTTAGTTTTCAATTTAATTGAAGTTTATCCAGGTAAGTTAACTCCGCCTACGTTACAAGGGTTGTTCAATTAATGTTAATTTATGGTTTATGTGCCTTAATTTGTGAATTTTATGTTTAATTTGAAAAATTAAGATTAGGATTTTTAGTGAAATAAATTTAGAGGAAATGGATTTAAGCTTGTAATTCATGCAATGTCCTATGCAACAAAAGGACCAAATAACTTTAGTGAGTATAGGACTAAAGTGCAATTTTGTAAACTAAATTTGGAAACTCCTCAAGCAGAAGGTATTGAGTTTCTCACACCAATGCTCCATTTTTTAAAAAAATTTTAATTTTATATCAAAGTAAATTATAAACTAATCCTTTTAGTTTCAAAAAACGAATAAATTAGTTATTTTTTTTTCAAAAAAATAATTATTTAATCTTTATATTTTTTAAAATCTACTTGCAACTTATTTTTTTGTTCATTTTCAAATAGAAAAAAATATGAAGAAAGATTGATGAGAAAATAATTATTTTATGTATTAATCAAATGATTAAATAATTAATTCTTAAAATAAAAAAGACTAAGTAATTTGCTTCACAAAACTGTAAGGACTAATTTATAATTTACTCTCTGATTTTTACGTAATAGATCGGTTTGATCTCTCAACCGCATGTTCTAGTTCAAAGCCACTGAAACATCGGTTTGATTAGCAAAACCTGTAAAACGGATTTTCTTCGAGAGGGCCATATATATTTATTGTGTTTCTTAGAAAAATGAAAAAAAAAATTTCCATGAAGTTGGAAAGAGAGATTTCATTGTTTAGAGCAGACTACACAGAGCAGGCTATGGCCGTTTCAGTGGATGGTATGTCTCTATTAAGAACCACGTGGCCATGCTAGCGATCTATATTGTGGTTGGTGGATCAAGTTTTCCATGACAACCACTCATCATAGGGAAGTCAACCAACCTTATCAACAGGACTTAATGGTTCAGCTAGTGTTAGTGACTTAATTATAAGGCCCTATCTCAATTCTATGAAACTACGTACGAACAATCATAGGTTGGTAAGCCTAGTCAGTTTTTCTTTGTTCCTGCGGCTGTTCAAATCTGACAACTGATTCTCATTTGATGCCTTTCTCTGTCATTTTTGGCATCTATGTATTTGAGAAATTTTGTAATCCAGAAAGGTAAATAAGTGATATATACTATAATTATTTTATAAATTTATTTTAAGAAAAAATAGATATATAGAAAAAAAAATTATAATTGAATTATTAAAAATAAGAAAAAAAATTTTATAATCGCATAATTTTTTTTTATATGTATCTATCTTTTTTTCAAAATGAATCCATGAACTATATATATGCTATTAGTTATTTTTTATATATTATAAATTTTTTTTTTTAAGTATTTTACTTGTTGACAAACAAACCACCCCTGTGTGCACCTTCCTCAGCTTCACCTTCTTATGTGAATTTTCAATAAGAAGACAGATTCCTATGTGTAGGGAATGAGAGTACTAAAATATAAAAAAAATTTGTTAGTTTTTCCAAACATTTCTTTCAAGTCTACATGAAAAAAAAAATAATTTTGAAATATATATATATAATAAATTCAATAAAAATAGAACTATACAAAAAAGATCAATTAGATATTCCAATACAGTAGTTACTATAAATACAAATCTTACAAGAATATGTGAGATGCTGACTCACATTATTCTTAATTAATACTCTGAATTCAAAATGAAGGTACGTAGGAGATTTTTTTTTTTTTTGGTTATAAATATATATATTAGCCAGAAAGAACTAACTCACATTGCGTTTTTCACATCCATACATGTTTAAAAACACTTATAAGGAAAAACCAAAATTTAGGATACATTTGTTAACGGGGCTAATAAAAATCCTAAGAAGGAATATGAACCTGAAATTTCTAGGCTAAATAAGCCTTCTCATTATCTATACAGATAGGATTGGAGCCAATCCATTTGGGGCACTTTTCATATATATCGAAAAAACGAATATTAAATCAAAGCCATAAGTGGGAAAGCAGATCAACCTAATTGATAACAATCTTAAGACATGATATGGAATTAGATTGGAAGGGAGAATCTGAGGACTCGGATGCTATATATTCCTCGGCATTGGATTTGGATCAATATAAGTACAAATATAAACGGACAGACATGGCATAAATATCTTTGGCGAATGAAAATCATAGGCGTTGACGTCTGACGTATAGGCCCTACCTCTCCTATAATTAACCCCTCTCCACTACAGTAGTTCCACTGCCCACATATCCATTCACTTTGTTGGATTCCTGACGAGGAATTGGACCAAAGATGGAGTTTCAGGACAACAACAAATCTCGTGAAGATCAGAAGCAGGAGGAGGTGAAGATCAAGGAGGATGATAAGGGAAAGAAACTTGGAGGCATCAAAACAATTCCATTCATACTTGGTGAGTTTGTTTTGGACTTAGCAGATGTTTGTACTATGTTGATGAACTAAGTTGGAGACCAATCTGTTGTTTTACCTTCATGTTTTGGCAGCAACTGAACTATGCGACAGATTTTCTACCATTGGTTTTCATGTCAATATGATAACCTACCTCACTCAGAAGCTGAACTTGCCTCTTGTAAAGGCCTCTAACATTGTCTCGACCTTCGACGGAACCGCCAGCTTAACACCCTTGATCGGTGCTCTGATTGCTGATTCATTTGCTGGCCGATTTTGGACAATCGTCGTTGGCTCCATCATCTATGAACTGGTTCGTCTCCTCTCTCTCTCTCTCTCTCTCTCTCTCGGGGCATATTTCTGTATAACTAAGTCTTTAACTGAAGATCAACGCATGAAAGTAGAGTTTTAATGCAGATTTTAATAAAATTTCTTAGGCTTCCAGTATAATCTTCAAATCAATCATTATCGAATGAGTAGGTTTGTTCTCCATGTTATTATCTGGGGTTCGAACTTTATATTTATGTGTAAGGATTCTCGGGCTGTGAGAAAGAGGTTTCTCATGAACTTTAACTGGTCCAAACTTGTTAGTTCAGGAAGCTGAAGACTTGATTTGACACAGAAATGCTTAATTTCATTCTAGAATACAATTCAACATATGCCATTTCAGCTGTATTACTAATCGATTCTCATCTATAATTATCACAGGGATTAATTAGCATCACCACTACAGCACTATTGAAATCACTACGTCCTCCACCATGTCCTACGCTTGTGGGCTGCCAAGAGGCTTCCGGTTTCCAACTAAACATCCTCTACTTTTCTCTGTTCCTCTTAGCTGTTGGCTTGGGTGGCACTAGGCCTTGTGTTATGGCCTATGCCGCGGACCAGTTAGACATGAGCAAATCAAGTGTCGAATCTCGAAGCTGGAACTTTTTCAATTGGTACTACATTAGCTTGGGATTTGCGAGACTAACTGCAGTGACTGTTTTGGTCTACATACAAGATAATGTGAGTTGGGGATGGGGTCTTGGAATACCTACCATTACCATGGGCCTAGCTTTCCTTGTCTTTCTATCTGCTTCTCTACTTTATAAGAAAGTGAAACCAGGAGGAAGCCCACTGGTCAGGGTAATTCAAGTGATTGTTGCTGCTATAAGGAAGAGAAAAGCTGTCTCACCAGAAGATCCAAGTCTTTTGTACCAAAACAAAGAACTTGATGCTGCTATATCTGCACATGGAAGGCTTTTACACACCACTCAGTTCAAGTAAGCTATGTTAAATTCTGAATCCTGATGTTGCTAAGTGTTTAAAATCTTTTAGAATGTACAACAACATTGGAAGCCGATCTGGGGCAGTACCAAGTGGTCATTGACCTTAGATTTGCAGGAGAAAATTTCTAAACTGGCCTTTTTCATTTTGCAGGTGGCTTGATAAAGCAGCAGTAGAGAAAGATGGTGAAGCAACAGATTCCAGTCCACCGAATCTATGGAAGCTAGCAACCGTGCATAGAATAGAGGAGCTAAAATCCTTTCTCAGATTGCTTCCAGTTTGGGCAGCTGGAATTTTACTTGTCTCAGCTAATTCACATAACAACAGCTTCAACACTCAACAGGCTCGCACTATGAATCGTCATCTGTCGAATTCCTTCCAAATTCCACCGGCGAGTATGTCTCTCTTCGGCATCCTGACCGTGATCATAGGGCTCGTTCTCTACGAACGCCTCTTCGTGCCCTTTGCACGTAGATTCACAGGGAATCCTGCAGGCATCACATACCTGCAAAGAATGGGCATAGGCCTAGCCTTTAACATTCTTATGTCAGTCGTTGCTGCATTGGTTGAGAAAAAAGAAGAGCAGTGGCAGAAAATCATAACTTATTGGATTATCCTAAAGCCATTGTTCCCATGAGTGTATTCTGGCAGGTTCCTCAGCTTTCACTTCATGGAATATCAGAAGTCTTCATGTCTGTTGGACAGTTAGAATTTCTTTACGATCAATCCCCAGAAAGCATGAGAAGCATCGCCTTGGGATTATTTTGGATAGCAAGTTCTATCGGAAATTACTTGGGCACATTTATGGTGTCACTAGTTCATAAGTACTCAGGACACAAGACGAATTGGTTACCTGACAGGAACCTGAATAAAGGAAAGTTGGACTATTATTATTGGCTTGTAACCGGTATCCAAGTTGTGAATTTTGTGTATTTTGTAATTTGTGCTTGGTTTTACACTTACAAGCCCTTGGAAGAAGCCAGGGAAAAGGATTCTGAAGATGGTGCTGAAAGGAAGGGAGAGGTAGAACTTGGTACTGCTGAAAAACTTAAAAATTAATTGTTGATGACATTATTACCTTGTAATATCAAAAACCTTGTACTACATTGATAGTAATATTTTGTAATAAGAAATTACGGATTCAAATTTTAGTCTACTAATAGCTTTAGATGTGTGATTTAAAAAAATAATAATAAAAAAAGACATTAATACCTTGTAGTCTTTTTTTCTTGGGAATCGAGTGAAAAATAACATAAATCAACATTATGAGCAACATTAGCAAACCAATCCACACAACGAGTTTACAAGCTAAGTTGCTTTTACAATATCTACGTTTGGGAATTTTTCAAGTTCGTTCCAAAGAATAGAATCACTTAAAAGGGAGTTTTTATTTCATTTATTAGGAAAGAGAAAAAAATTGACTGCACTTTTTTATTCCCCCCCCCCCAGTTATTCCTTTGTCTTTTTATTTCGAAAATATACAGCATTTAGGCTTAATGGGCTATGGCAATTGGGTTAGGGTATTTATTTGAGCCTGGTGGATATATTTTTAGCAATATTCTATTGGGCTCCTTATCCAACTTTCATAAACGTAACGGCTCATTTAGAGGGCCCATCCAAATTTTGAATTTAAATGAAATTATTAGATAAAAAAAAAAAAAACTTAAACAATCACCAAATATTAAATGTTATGGACAGATAGACAAGTTTCCGAAAATATGGAGGGTAGGTGTCTAGAAAGATGGGAGGCTAATTTAAAACCTTAAAATTAACAAGGACTCTCATGAATTTTTTTGAAAAATTAAGCCCCCTTATATCTTCCATTTATCTATTGCCTGCCCCTTATCACTGCTGGTTGAGGTTGGTACCATATTTATAACACCTGTCAGTTTAAATGTTATGATATACGTGTATATTTTTATTATTTTATTTAAATTTAATGATTTAAGAGGTGAATGAGACATTATATATTTCTTATAATCATTATCTAATAGTTTAATATTTTAAATTAAAAATAATATTTATTAAAAAAATATTCATATGCACGGCAATAAAAAAAAACCCACTCAAATCTCAATGCTTCAACTTGCAGGACTTCAATTAGAGATTAGTTTTAAGTCATGTACCATGAAGACCAAAGTCATCTTATTATATGTGAAATAACTGAATTTCTCCATACCATCTGACGAGGTAGTCTATAAACATTAAAGTTCTATTCATTGTTATGTACCAAGTTGTTGTGTTAAATGAAATATAATGGTGGGTCATTTTGGGATTGGCGAGTTTATCCCATCACTACCGGAAAAATAGGTTTTTGTGGTGGTTCTTTAGCGACGATATAGAAAACCATTGCTTAAACTATAGAACCGTCGTTATTCTCTTCTCAAAATTAGGTATTTAGCAACGTTTTGTAAACCGTCACTAATTTGATCATCTAGAATCGTTTTTAGCGTCGGCTTTAAGTAAACCATCGCTAAAAAGATAAATATTTTTGGAATTAGTGAGGGTTTACCTAAACCATAACTAATTCCAAAAAAGATGATTTTTAGCGACGATTTATGTAAAGCCGTCATTAAAAACCATTTATTAAGAGTGGTTTTAGCAAAGGTTACTAAAAACCGTTGCTAAATCCATGAAGTTGGCAAGTCAAAATTGAAAAAAGCATTTAGCGACAATTTTTTTATGAAAACCGTCACTAAATAACAAAATTAGTGACAGCTTATGAAAATCGTCGCTAATTTATTACCGTTGGAGGTAAAACAGGACAAATTGGAATAAATTAATGTTTGTAACGACGGTTCAAAACCATCACTAAAAACTTAAGTTCCTAAAACCTATTGCCCAAATTTTTTTTCAATTTCTTCTTCTTCTTCTTCCAAGAATCGCAAATCCACCACTTTCTTTCCCATTTCCCCTCTAATCTCGGCTCCAACTCCCTCCAAATCTCCCCCTTTCTCTTCTTTTCTTCTTTCCCTCCATCTCTTCCCTTTTCCTCCTCCCTTTTCTTCTTTCTCTCTCTCCTTCCCTCCTCCTCCTCCCTTCCCACCTCATCTTCAATCATTGTGTAGCAGGAGCGACAACAACTCCTCCACCTCTTCACCATGAGTTGGCAGTAGCTCCTATCTCCTTCTCTACTCCTTCATTTGTGTAATTGGTAACTAATTAATTTTTTTCCATTTATTTCATTAATTTTATATTTGTTGTTTAATTAATTATTTGTTAATTGTTAGTTAGTTTAATTTAGTTTGATCTTATATGTAATTTGTTAGTTGTTAATAAATTAATTATGTGTTAAAAATTAATTAAGTGTTAGGTTATTTAATTAATTATTTGTTAATTGTTAGTTAGTTTAATGAATTTAGTTTTTTTTTTTAAATATTTAATTTGTTAGTTATTGATTAAATTAAATATATTTGTTGTTTAATTAATTATTGGTTAATTGTAGGTAGTTTAATTTAGTTTGTTTTTATAGTTAATTTATGAGTTGTTAACTAAATTAATTAATTATTTAAAATTTTAATTAATTGTTAGTTTATTTAATAATGTTGTCACATGGTGATTTCGGGGTGAGGGCGATGATTTTCGAAAAATAGGGAAAATGAACAAAAATAACTGGAGTCATCATCTAATATTATAGTTATTAAAAAACCTATGACTCGGTCCGTTCGGAGTTTTGTATAAGGGGTTTATTACATGTAAAAAAAATTAAAAATTACCATACCTTGTCCCGCTTAAGGCAAACACCATTACATATAACATTGATTTGATTTTTGATTTTTTTTTTTATTAATGAAAGTCTATACCTATTTTTCAACATTTGCCCATTAACGAGTGATTTAAGACTTGATCGGTCGGAGACCTTGTCCTTACCTATAATGAATAGTTAAGAAACTAAAAAGACATTATGAATGCAAAGATATGTGGCTCGTGTGATTTAAATGGCGTGCGTGAAAACAAGGCTTAAAAGTAGACAAATAGGCAGAATAGGTAAAAACGAGCAAACAGACAAAATAAGCAAGCATGCAAATTAGAGAATAACAACAAAATAAGCAAATAAGTAAAATAGGCAAAATCGATAAATATGCAAAATAGGCAAAATCGATAAATAAGCAAAATCGACAAATAGGTAAAATAGACAAATAAGCAAAATCGACAAATAGGAAAAATAAAAAAATAGGTAAAAATAGATAAAATAAGCAAATAAGCAAAAATAGACAAATAGGAAAATAGGTAAAAATAGACAAATAGGTAGAAATTAGCAAAATAACGACAGAAAATGGCAAAAATAACAAAAATGAAAAAATTAGCAAAAATTATTGAAGTTGGCAAAAATGATGGCAAACTTGGTAAAAACGATAAAAATAGCAAAATTGACGAAATTGGCAAAATTGGCAAAACAATGACAAAGACGACAAAAGCATTAAAATAGGCAAAAATGGAAAAATCAGCAAAAATAGCAAAAAAAATATGACAAGCGGGGTTCGCATCGACACAACTTTGAATGTCGTGATTTTTAAGCAAAATTGACACAATATCAAATTACTTTTCGAATGTGCAACAACGAGTCCAAAACGAGGCTCGGATCAATGCGACTCAAAAATTCACTTTTTTTTAAGACAAATTAGCATAATATCAATTAAACATTGCAATGGGAAATAACAATTCTAAAACGAAGTTCGAACCGACACAATTCATGAATCATTTTTTTTTTGACGAATTGACGACAATGTCATAATTAATTGTTATTTGATAAAAAAAAATGGTTCTAACAAGGAGGTTCAAACTGGCATGATCTGAAATTATTTTTTTGTAGATAAAGTTAGCACATGAATGATTTAACATTCCCAAACATCCTGTTCTTTTAAATTGCACCTCCTCAACTAATTTTAGCCACTTATTTTTAATTGCAGTCTTCCCTTTTATCTATTTATTTATTTTTTGCTAAGAATTAAAAGAAAATAAATTGGGAGTAAAAATTATTTAATAACAATAGCGACAACTCGTCCGTCACTAAAATTATTAGCGACAAATGATAACCGATCCGTCACTAAAATTGTTAGTGGTGGATGTACTTCAATATAGCGACAACTCATCCGTCACTAATTTTACAATGGATAGTAACTTCTGTCACTCAATTATCAACGATAAATATTTTACCTACAGTCTGATTTTATCACCATTTCATCACTAAAAGAAAATAATGACGAAATATATAGATTTAACGATGAAAATTTCGTGGCTAAAGGCTTAGTTTTTTGTAGTGTCATGTATCAGAGCCATCCAACATTTCTTTTGAATAACAAACCCACACTCCACCTATACAAGTAACGTCTTACTTACATTATTACTGGACGAGTCTTTACAGACTCATTATGTTAATTTGATTTTTTCCACTCACGTATTTGTTAGACATATGGAACTTCACTAGGGAAACAATAACCATTTCATACTAATATTTTTGCATCAGTATAGACAGGTAAGAAAGGGATTTCAGAGAAATTATTCAGACTTTTCTTGCACTTGTTTTTCTTCAGTAATTTCGTAAGCAGAAATGCAACGAGCATCTGTCTGAAATAAGGGAAGAAGGATTCACCATGTCAATAAGGCAAATTTTGCACGCTCCTTTGTTTTTCCATACCACAATTCTATTTACTACAAAAGATTCATAGCTAGCTAAGTCTAGTCAGTAATGTCGTTTTCTTTGTTCCAATTGCTGTTAAGTCATGGCGACTGAATCTCATTGACACCTTTCTTTGTCTATTTTGGCATTTATGTAATTTTATAAATCACGTAGCAATGAATATATATCTAGCTACACGGTAGGTCAAAGTTGGCTTATATATATATAGACACACACATAACAGTTGTTCACAAATAAACCACCACTATATGCACCTTCCTCGGTTCTCCTTCTTCTGTAAATTTTCAATAAGAACATACAAGAATCCTACGGATAGGAAATGAGAGTACCAAAATGTGTGGGTCATTACTCATTACATTTTCTTTATTAGTTTTCCTCATATTCTTGCAAGTCTACATGAAAAACCAAATCATTCGGCAGACCTAATCACTTACAGACTATATATATATATATATGACTTTACTAATAAACTAAAAGAGGTAGGGTTTTTGAACAGTGGCCATCAGTGTTCATCCCCTCACATAAAATTGTTCATTCCTGTAGCACCTTCTGTTTTTTTTTTTTTGCTGTGGGTGGGCCTCTCTTTCGGCCTTTATTATATTCGGGCTTTTAGAATTGTACATTCTGTAATCTAGACTCATCTATGTCTTGAAGGTCGGGGCCCATGTTTTTTTATTTGTTTTTTTTCATCAATCTAAGTTCTTTTTTTATTTAATTTTTTTAATTTTCAGATTGTTTTATTTTTGTTTTTAAAATTTTAACCCTCTAACTGATGTAGTAGACATGTCTTTTTTTTCCTTTGCCTTTTTTTTGTTGTCAATTTATGTTTTTTTTATTTGTCAATTTTTGTAAAAATTTGTTCATTAATTATAAGTTTATTTTTTGCAATACAATATTATAAAAATTATATTTAATTTTTTTAAAATTCTTGATTAATATTTTAGTTAAAATTATTTTATTTTTTATTTTAAAATCAATCTATAAAGAAGAATGATTTTTATTTTTTATACGTAAAATTTATAAAAAAACATTGAAAATTAATTTTAAGTTGTTTCATTGTACATGCTTTTTTCCATCAATCTAAATCTTTTTTTATTTAATTTTCAGGTTGTTTCATTTTGGTCTAAAAAATTTTAAAATAAAAATTTTAATCTCCTAACTCGATGCACTACACATGTCTTTTTTTTCTTTGATGATTTTTTTTTGCTTTTTTTCATCGATTTATATTTTTTTTTTTAATTTTTTAATTTTTGTAAAAGCCTATCCATTGATTATAATTTTATTTTTGTAAAATTCTTTCGAAAATTACTTGGGCACATTTATATATGCATGGTGTCACTAGTTCACAAGTACTTAGGCCACGAGAACAATTGGCTACCTGACAGGAACTTGAATAGGGGAAAGTTGGACTATTATCTATTATTTAGTTTGTAACAGGTATCCAAGTTGTAAATCTAGTGTATTTTGTAATTTGTGCTTGGTTTTACACTTACAAACCCTGGAAGAGGCCATGGAAAAAGATTCTGAAGTTATAACTCATGAAGACGGTACTGCTGAAAGGAATGAAGAGTGAGAACTTGCTACAACTGAAAAATAATTGTTTGATGATATTTGTAATTTAACTGAAAATTCTGAAGTTATAAATCAAGTGTACCTTGCAATTTAATTAGTTAATGTAATGGAAAACATCATCATTCATATGCCTTCACTAAGTTTTTGTGAAGACATTTTTACAGGCACAGGCTTCATTTTGAAAATTTTCAAACTCATATTGGACTGATATTTTAGGAAGAAAATAATCATTCAAAATTAAGGAAATTAAACAAAACAGTTTTTTTATGGGAAAAAAACAAGATTGACTATGTTTTTTGGTTTTTTCTTTCTTTCAAATTTTTAGTTATTCTGCTTAAATTATAAATTAGTCTCTCTAATTTCAAAAAATAAATTAATTAGTCCCTTTTGTTTTTAAAACCACTTATTTAGTCTTTATATTTCAAAATTCTCTTGTAACTTAATCCTTTTTGTTCTTTTTTCAATTTATTTTATTTTTTTATTTCAAGATATAAAAAAAGAAATATAAATAAAAAATATGAAATAATTTATGAGAAAAGATGTCATTTTATGAATTAAAATAATATTAAATTAAACACAATTAATACTATCAAGATACTAAATAATTAATTATTTATTAAATTAATTCATTCATTTTTAAAAAATAGAGGGAGTAATTTATAATTTACTCACTTATTGTTTTGTATTTTCATTTTGAAAATAATAAATCATTTGGGCTTTATAGGCTATGACAATCGGGTTAGGTTGGTTATGTTATTTATTTGGGCCAGGATGATGTACTATTGGCTTTGTACCCATTTAGAAAATCATCCAAATTTGGAAACCCATTTAGACATCCAAGCAAGTTTTATTGCGCATCTTCTAGTTTTCATGTTTCATTATTTATATACCCATGCTATGCTATGATTACACAACTATTATATATGTAGGATTAATAATACGTATAGTATGATGCGAGTAGATATTTTGTTTCGAAGATTATTGTAAATCAAATCTATATATTGAGCAAACTTATTTGATTTATACATATTTATTAACAAAATAATTTATAATATTAGTATAAAACTTTGTATTTGAATAATTAAGAAATTCTTTTAAAATATTAATTAAATTATTTTATTTAAAAATACAGATTTTAGAACATGAAAAAATAAATAACAAATAATTGATTTTATGTGTGCGGATATAATTAATTTCTAACAAAAAAAAAAAATATATATATATATATCGTATTTAGCAGATTCGAAGTATATAAAATAAATAAATAAAAAATATAAAAAATCCACTTAAATCGCATGGAATATATTAAAGTGAATAGATTTAATCGCATGAAATATATCGAAATGAATAGATTTAGATAAAAAATATTATAAAATTGGTTTCGATAAATTCTAATTTTATATATATATAATCAAATAAAACCTATGAATTTTTTTAACTAATTATTAATTTAAAAAACACAAGTCAAATTATTTTTTAACTGATTATTAGTTTTAAAAAAATTAAGTTAAATTATCTAAAACACACTTTAGCTCTCTCTCTCTCTCTCTCTCTCTCTCTCTCTCTCTCTCTCTCTCTCTCTCTCTCTCTCTCTCTCTCTCTCTCTCTCTCGTTAGAATTTATATATGCAACCATGCTATTCTCATTTAAAAATCATAAAAATAATCAATCGTATAAATTTTAATAATATATTTTAAAAAATAAAGCAATCATCTTCTAAAATTTTATTTCAAAACCAATATACAAAAAAAATCAAATTTGTTAAAAAATAAAAATATATAAAATTAAAAAATTAACTCAATGAGAATTGTAATGAGAAACAAATAATTGAAGAAATAAATTTTAAATAATAAACATAATATAATCAGGTATATATTATCAAATTAAAATCTTAAAAAATATCATATATATTCTATTATCATCAAACTATACATAAAACTAAAAAAAATAACGATTTTTTTTATACATATTTTTACACCTAATTTCATGATTAAAAATATAAAAATAAATTATTTATATAGAAGAAGAATAATTGCTATATGAGAACATATAGAAATCAAAAATCACTCCTCCTTTCTTTTATCAGTTGCCAGCAGTCAAGCCCAAATAAAATTAAAAAAAAAAAAAGAAAATTCTACAGTGAATGTAAAGTAGAAACCGAAAACCAAACATCTTTTCTTTTCTCAATTGCCAGCAACCCAGCCTTAAAAAAAAAACAAAATTACTATAGTGAATGAACAGTCACACATCCAGATCTTTTATTTATTTATTTATTTTTTATAATTATAATAACATAATAAAGGGGTCTGAGTTCGAAAGGCCTTAGCTTTGCTTCTCTTTTGCCAAAATTCTTCTCCTTTTTCACTTCTCTATGGTATTTGCCACCTAGAAAGATCTTCCCTTTTTCTCTATTTGCATTTCATTGTACTGAATTACAATAATAATAATAGAAAAAACTCATCACTAAGGACGACTTTCTTGACGCCAAGTCATTGCAATTTGCACGCAGGATATGGTGGCCTTTTCTGCATCCGATGATACTTGAAAGGACCCATCCAGCGGTTCTGCTTATTTTTCTTCCTCATCTTGGTAATTTTGGGTTGAAGAGCAGAAAAAACGTAGCAACCAAAAACAAAGAAAGAAATGTGTTAAAGGGCAGAGAGAGCAGCTTTTAAAGAGAGAAAAAATGCAGCAGAAGCAACAAACAAAAAGATGAAAGATGTGTTAAGGCTAAATAGGTAAATGAACAAATAAAGTCAATGGCAAGATAGAAATTAATGGAAAGGTTGGGACTGAAAGCAAAATAACACACCCGCCACACGAAACGAAAAAACAAATCTGAGATTCAAAAAAGAAAAGCCAAACAGTGCACTTGGATTTTTTTTTTTTAATTAAGCAAATCATGCATAAATATTATATTTTCCTTTTAAAGATTCAAATCTAGATAATAATAATAATAAAAATAGCTTGGTTAAACCTATGATTTACTTAAGGTGTATTTTTTATTTTAATCAATAACATATAATTTTATAAAATTAAACATTTATCTTATTTAATTGACTACTTTTCTTCACTCAATGATTTATCAATATCAAATTTCTTTTATTTTGTTATATTATCATTTTAATTTAAATAAATTATATTTAATTAATTGAAATTAAATATATATATGCTAAATTAATCCAATTGACTAATCGATAAAAACAAAATGCGCAAATAATAAATTTCGCCCAAATAAATACAATTATCATTTCAACCGTATTCCAAATAATAATAATAAAGCCTATTGGGTCGGGTGAAGTTACCGTAACTGACCGTCCAAGTTAAAACCAACCCATTTAAAAGAAAATTAACCCATTTAGATATCCAAACAAGTTTTCTAACTAACTTCAAAAATCGACTTACAGGGGTTTAGCTGAAACTACCTGATTTTTTTCTCCCCTCTCTGTTTGGTTTCCGAGAATACAAACACTAAATCCCGGAAAACCCAAAACGAAAGAGAAAATTTCGCAAATCTGTAGATCGAAGAAAGGAATCATTTTTCTTCTTATCTGATGATGGAGGTGACGGTGGCGTGCAACAATAGTAGCGGCGGTGCACAGCTGACACCAGAAGAAGAGAGGGTTTTGATTAGAGACATTGCAATTACTTCAGAATCTAATAGTAAAGAAGGCGATAGCTTTTATTTAATCACTCAACGGTAACATTTGTTTCTTTATTTTTCTTTTCTCTGTGTGGGGTTTTTAGCGTTAAAAAGCTTGTGAACTTTAAAAATGTCAAAAGTTTTAGAGCGAAATTTAAGTATTTTTGAGGATTTTATTCTGATGGTTTTGAATATATATATATATATATATAAAGAAGTTTTTAATTTAAAAAATGCAAAGTGGGTTTGTTTTGTTTTGTAGTTTTCTCCTATAAGAATAGGTCTTCACCTCTCTGAAATTGCTTGAAAATGCAAATTCCCAAGTCTATTTTGGAAGTAAGTTTTTTATTGCTTAGTTGTCAACTGGGAAGTAAGGAATTTACCTAGTACTGATGTTCTTTGTGTGTGTGATAGAGAATGGTATGGAATTGAGATTGCTGGTAGTTTTTGAATTATAATTTTGGTAATGTATTTTTTGGTTGGTTTATAATAGATGGTGGCAACATTGGATTGGTTATGTGAACCAAGACCAGACAAATGTCACGAATGATGGGTCATCTATGTTAGAGAATTGTGATACGATTAGTTCTTCAAAAAGGCCTCCTAGTATTGATAATTCTGATTTGATATATGATGCGAATTCCGAGGAGTCGAATGTTGGCATTGAGATTCATGATACTTTATTAGAAGGCCGCGATTATGTATTGCTTCCTCAAGAAGTTTGGAACCAGTTGTATTCCTGGTGAGTTGTTTATGAATTGGTGGAAGAACATAAAATATTACATTACTTTCTTGCTGTATTTTGTGTTTCGTTTTTGCCTTTTTTTAATTCCTTATTAACACAAGGCCGGTGGTTATAATCTTAATTTTGGTAGGATTTTTATGCTCAATACCCATATTCAATAGCTACTGCGAACATGAATAGAGAATATAGGTAGGAGTTTCTTTTATTGCCTTGTTGTCATCACAGGCAATAAAAGATTGCTAAATTGTATCTTTCTGTGGCCACTGTAGTTTGGAAGAAAAAACAAAATGGGGGAAATGCTCTGATAAATATGATGGTATTGTTGGGTGTAGGTATGGAGGTGGTCCGGCGTTGGCTCGGAAGGTAATCAGTTCAGGTCTTTCTCAGACAGAGTTTGCTGTAGAGGTGTATCCTCTCCGTCTTCAGCTACTTGTTATGCCGAAGGGTGATCGTTTTGCAATAAGAATTAGCAAGAAGGTATGACTTGAAATCTGTCATAATTTACTACTTTATTGAGCTGCTTATTTTTGTTGTAACTTGACTTAAGGACATGTTCGACGACTCAATTTAGCATTGACTATCCATAATTTCCACGCCTAATCCTTTGAGTAACTTTGGGAATGGTCTTTAATCAGTATTCTTGTGTTTCTGAATATAAACTAAGTCTTGAAGAACATTTTAAAAATTAGTACATAAAAGAAAATTGCTAAAAATGTTAAACACATGACATTACGTTTACACCATCACAACAAAGTTATGCTATCTCATCGGGAAAGTATTACATTATCACCTCCCTACCACTATTTACCTAAATCTATCACAAAATTGCCCCCTCTTCATCAAATTCATCATCATGACCACCTTTACAACTACCATGCTGGGATTGTTGCATCAATATTGGCATAAATCTGGAATTGGTGAAATGACATCACTTGTTTGCCAAATAAATTCAGTTTCAACATTGAATCATTATAACTAACAAATAATTAGTGTCAATGCATCAGTTCTAAATGGTGCGTAGAATTTGAATACTACAATTTGAGTAGTATAGTTTAAAGTTTCAGTTGTAACTTTTCATCTTATGAAAAGTTCCCCAAGTGTATCTTGTGTTTGATTATCAAAAACTGAATCATTTTTGCAGGAGACAATTGGAGAGCTTCACAAAAGAGCTTGTGAGATTTTTGATCTGAACTTAGAGCAAGTAATGGCTTAAAAATACCCCAGCTATTTTTTTTTTTAATTTCAAAATATAGATTGTAAGTTTTGCGTAAAATATGTTGAACTATTCCTTTTATTCAGTTTCTTATCATGTATTATTATTATTATTATTTTTTACAGGTATGCATTTGGGATTACTATGGCCACCGTAAACATGCTTTGATGAATGACATGGATAAAACACTTGACGATGCCAACTTACAGATGGATCAGGATGTAAGTCTTTTTGTAATGTGTCATGGTGTAAATTACATGTTACTTTCTTGTTTTTATGCTTGACTTTTCTTTTGTTCTATAACCATGTACAGATTCTGGTGGAGGTTCATAACAATGCCAATGGTACTGCATCGAGTGGATCTATAAGATCTGCTCAGGGCAATGGATCTACTGTGAAGGAAGCTAGTTCTTTTCTTTTAGAGCCTTCTAAGTCAAGCTTATCAATTGCAGGAGGTTTATCTGCAAGCAAGGGTGCTTCTAGAGGCAGCAGCACAGAGCTATCTCAAAGTCCAAATCTGACATCTCAGAGCAGGGAGTTGGATAACACATATGGGATCAGTACTGTTACTACAAGGGGGTCTTCTGGTGGCTTGATTGGGTTGCAGAACCTAGGGAACACATGCTTTATGAATAGTGCAATACAATGTCTTGTTCACACATCAGAGTTTGCAAAGTACTTTCGGGAGGATTATCATCAAGAGATAAATTGGCAAAACCCACTCGGTATGGTGGTAAGTTTGATTATTGATGAACAGTACAAATTATGCTAATTTTCTTCCAAGCATGATTTTGAAACACTTAAAATACTGAGTGAAAAGGTACACTGGAGAGCAAAAACCTCTTGGTTTTGAGCTTGTTAGTATCATCTAAATGATATGGTCTTTGAAGTCTCTATGTTGATAAATAGTGCAGTTTTCTTTCATGTTGCAAGAACTAACTTCTGAACTTCAGATGTTGATTGAGGGGCAATTTGTAATTTGATCAATATAACTGTTGTCCTTTTTTGTCTTTGAAGTACAGACCATTGTTTCTTTCTTAGGTTTTGTTTTTGTTTATTGTTCTCTCTTGAGTTGGTTAGATCAAGATCATTTATTGCAGTGATTGGTAGTTTGGTACTTTATGTCAGATATAAAACAGATAAACCTTTCTGGTGCACTGGTGCAGGACAGCTAGGGGGCTGTTCGGATCTGACTTTGGAGGCTGTTTAGGACTTTATTAATGTGGATTTTTGCTGGAATTGTATAAACTATTAGAGTGACACTAATAGGGTTTCTAGGAGTCATACCTAGAGGGTAGAAAAACCTAAGCTTCACACCTAGGGTTCTTAGGAGTCACACAATGAAAAACAAATTGCTGGAATTTTATTCATAAACTTCTATTCATAATATTTAAAGACTAAATACTTATTTATAGAGTTCTAGTAGTCCAAATCCAATAAGGACTTAGATTCCTAAATAAGAAAATTTTAAGTCTGTAGAATAGGAAAAAATCTAGTAAAGCCATTTACTCCTTAGGACTAATAAAATGCTAAATAGAAAACAAAACCAAGACTCATACGAAATTCCAGATTTTTTTTTTCAGAAATTACATAAATGCCTTTGTCTACAAAAAGACATAGAGTTTTTTTGTTCCCTTTGTTGTCTGCATCACTTTCATTTGTTTCCATGCACAAGTAGAGCTTCTAATTAACAATGGTGATTACTCCAGCTGTTGTTATGTCATTTCTAATCTAGGTTTTATTCAGCAATTTTAAGTATTGCAAGTCATTGTTGAACTATTCTGTTAATATCCTATTGAATTGAGTTGGCCATTTTGTAGGGTGAGCTTGCGCTAGCATTTGGTGAGTTACTTCGAAGGCTATGGGCACCTGGGCGAACAGCAATTGCTCCTCGACAATTTAAAATGAAGTTGGCTCGATTTGCACCTCAATTTAGTGGCTATAATCAGCATGATTCCCAGGTTCTCAAGTGCAGCAAACTTTTCACAAATGGTCTGTTTTTCTATGTGGATTATGTGCAGTTTGTGTAAGTAAAATGGTCTGTATCATTGCAGGAGCTTTTAGCATTTCTTTTAGATGGTCTTCATGAAGATCTGAATCGTGTTAAACACAAGCCTTATAAGAAGTCTAAAGATGCTGATGGTCGTCCAGATGAAGAAGTTGCTGATGAGTATTGGGCAAATCATATTGCTCGTAATGATTCCATAATTGTTGATGTGTGCCAGGTGCATATTATTCAAGCTTGCTTACATCCAATCCTTGTCTTTTTGGTCTTGGATGAACTGATCAGACATATTTAGGATGGAATTGGATGGTGCACAACTAAAACACATGCACGCACGTGCACACACACAGAGGCACCCCAACAAATGTGCATGGTTTTTTGTTGCTAAATAGTTTTGATAACCATGAAAATGAAGTTGGGGGAAAACAAGAGATTTAGAGTTATGTACAAGGTTTTATGTAAGCAGGACTAAAATGGAGTACTTTTATCGTAATCCTAGCAACATGAATGGAGCTTTTAGTTTGATTTGATTAGAGGTGCTTCAATGTGACCATTTCTGGCACCTAGGTTGGTGAAAAGAAGAAGCATTTCTGGAGTATCATGCAAGTGTGGATCCCTGGTTCGTTGAAGGGTGCGTTCTATATAATTGTGATTAGGCCTGCAGCTAGATTCTTGATGTGGTAATGTGTGTTTCATGGTGAAGATGAAATTTGTTATAAAATATACATTTATTAAGACGAATGTTTGAAAATTCTTGACATAGTCAAATAAGAGGTGATTGCAATTTGTAGGAAGAGAGAGAATATTAAGATAAATATGCTGAGGTGACACTCATTGAGGATAGGTTAAGATAGCGTCACATGAGGATGCACTGGTGCAGAAGTGATTGAATTTAGTGTCATTCTAAAATCCACAAGATTCCACCTTTATTAAATTTTCATGAAATTCTTTGACTTGAAGCTTGGTATTCTTGCTTCATACTGAGGATGTGCTAATTGTTATGCTATTAAGTTGACACATACTCCAATTAATTGCCCTCATTCCACTGTTTTTGCAGTTCTAAATTCATTCTAAAATTGTTCAGTTGACTGTTTCCTTTTAACAGGGCCAATACAAGTCGACTTTGGTTTGCCCAGAGTGCAATAAAATCTCAGTTACATTCGATCCCTTCATGTACCTCTCTTTGCCACTTCAATCCACCACCACTCGTTCTATGACGGTTACGGTTTTTACTTGTGATGGAAGTGCCCTGCCATTTCCTTGCACTGTAACTATACCGAAGCAGGGGCGATGCAGGGACTTGATCAATGCGCTTAGCAGTGCATGTTCCTTGAAGAATAATGAAGAGCTTAAACTTGCTGAGGTTAATAGCATTGGCTGTTGTCACTCAAGTTCATAAAATTATGGATGTGCAATTCCTTGGCTGGACTTATTTGAACATGTTGTTCACAGGTACGGAACCATTTGTTTCAAAGATTTCTAGAAGACCCCTTAATATCCCTTTCCACGGTCAAAGATGATGACCACCTCATTGCCTACAAGATACCGAAGTCGCTGAAGAAAACACTTCTGCTTAGGTTGATTCATCGCCGTCAAGAACAGTATGTATTTTCTGATCTGGATATTCATATCTTACACCAATTATTGCCTTTGTTAGTTTGGAAGGTGCTGTGCATTAAGTTGCTATATGTTTCTGTTTGTACATGCATGTGTATGCATCTGCATGTTAGATCTCTTATTTATTGCCAAATGACAGGGAAACGGGCGATACACAGGCTGCACAATGGTGGAAGCCCTTTGGAACACCTCTTGTCTCTTTGATCTCACGTGATGATGTGATTACAAGAGGTGATATACAGACTTTAGTTCACAAAATGCTCTCACCTTTGTTAAGATCTGAAAGTTTGAGACAAGCTGACACTCCTGAGCCCTGCTCGTCTTTGGCGGCATCAGATACGTGCCGTGACAACAGTTCTGGTGGAGCATGTACTAACCCTTTGTCAAATTCAATGAACAAGGATAGTAGTAGTTCCAAGGCAGTAACATTATTCAAACTACCACTTCAGTTGGTTGAGGAAAGTAATGCATGCATTGATCTTTCTGTGGGAGAAGAAAAAGCAGTTAAATTGTCCTCAACATCAACATCAATACTGGTATATGTTGATTGGTCACAGGAGCTCTTAGAAAAGTATGATACTCATTATTTGGAAAACTTGCCCGAAGTGCTCAAGTATGGACCCGTGAATAAGAAAGCTCGTACTGAACCTCTCTCCTTGTACACATGTCTAGAAGCTTTTCTGCGTGAAGAGCCTTTGGTGCCTGAAGATATGTGGTTAGTGTCTATTCTTCCCCTACGTGCAATTTTTTATTTGAATGTACACCAATCCTTAATGGAATATCTTTAGTTGGCATTTCCCTTGTGCATTTGCATGTCATAGAATTATTTATTGTTCACTTGTTGAAGGGAAAGGAATTGCATTAAAAGATTAGTGCGAATATATCTGAAACAGGTACTGCCCAAAATGTAAGGAGCGGCGACAAGCAAGTAAAAAGCTTGACTTATGGAGGCTTCCAGAAGTGTTAGTCATCCATTTGAAGAGGTTTTCATATAGCAGGTCAATGAAGCATAAACTGGAAACTTTTGTCAACTTTCCTATTCATGACTTTGACTTGACAAATTATGTAGCCAACAAGAACAACACTCAACGTCAACTCTATGAACTTTATGCATTGACTAACCATTATGGTGGCATGGGAAGTGGGCACTACACTGCACATATCAAGGTGAGCATTGAAGGAACTGATAATATGTGCACGAGTTACAAGATTGGTGTGCACCTCGTATTATTGGCTAGTAGTGACAGTTCATGGACATCTTGACTTTTTTGAATGCATACCTATATACATGGTTGCCAATAGGTTGTTTCCTTTAATTATCCTTCATGAGAAGCGAAAGAAAGGTTCAGTAGTCAGCACCAATTAATCTTTAGTTAAAATGTTTGGGCATTGAGACCTTTGTGCAGTTAATGTGTTTGATAAGGTAACAGATTTGTTCTTGTCTTTATTTGTTGTGATTAGTTAGATTTAGGAGTTTCAGATGACAGAACATCTCTGTTCGTCCAATTTCAGCTTCTAGATCTAATGTTGGGGCATTGGGCTTTCTATTGATTGTTTCATGTCTTGAACTTTTTGGATTCAGCATACATCCCTCTCTCTCTCTCTCTAAAAAATAAAAAATAAATAAATTTGTGCCTTTATTGTGCAGCTTCTGGATGAGAACAGGTGGTACAACTTTGATGACACCCACATATCACCCATAAATGAAGAAGATGTGAAATCAGCTGCTGCTTATGTTCTCTTTTATCGAAGGGTGAAGACAGGTGATGCCATTAGCAATGGAGGAAAGTCTGGTGCAGGTCGTAACAATGGTTCATCTCTGAAGTAAACTTTTGTGGTCATGCCTTCTTGCCAAATAAGCAAGGTATGTGGCTAGGGTTCTCCTTGGGTGCAAAAGACCACTTAAAACAAGCCTTTTGTAATGGAATTCCTATATTTATAGATAGCCCTTCTAAAGTTTTTTGAAGTTCTTAATAGTATCTCTCTTCGGAAAAAATATTAAGTCATTGCTCAACGTGGTTATGTAGCTAAGCAATGGTACCTAATATTTAGGTGAAGTTGATTAATGATGGTCCTGATATTGAGAGTGCTTTGCGTGCTGGAAGAGAACCGACATAGGGGACTAAATTCATTTTAATGGCTAATTACCCCCACCATTACCCTGCTGAACCCACCCGCACACAGATTTTTGCTTGAGGTGGGGCTGAACTTACTACTGCATCAGAGGGATGAGAATTCAAAGAAAATGTCTTGGTTTCTAGTAATAACAGTATAACACCAGATTCCTGGGATGGCACTGGCTGATTTTTTTGGTTGAATGCATGTGGACTTCCTTTTCATATTATACCTTTGAAGTGCGATTCTAATACTGAATGTAAAAATTAGCCAGGGAGGGATGCAGTGCCTTATTTTATTTTTCAACCAAAGAAACTCGGAAATAGAAACAAGAGAGAAGAGGAGCAAGAGGGGAAAAAGAGAAGTAGATGGTGATGAGATGGCATTTTCTAAAGTTTTAAACTATGACATTTTCTAGGTTTTAAAAATTCTTGGGGCTAAAAATAAGTCCCTTAGGTCTTCACCATACAGCACACGTTAGACTTGCTATATTAGGAGCATTTGCTATAAAACTATAGTATACTAGGTAAACTTTGCTTTATTTCAGCCCTAAAGGAGACAGAAAGACAGGTCTGCCATTTTCTGATCGTAAATTAGGTAACCTTATCCACCAGAAATAATTCTTTATTATTTGAAAGTCTCCCAGATTAATGGGATTCGCATCATAAATAGCTAGAACTTAAAATTTTGTATTTATATATATATATATATATATATATATATATATTTTTTTTTTTTTTGGGCTATCTCCATATTTGTTATGGGTTACGAAACTCTATTTCAGGATCATTTGGGTGGATCTACTACTATTTTTTTTTTTTTACTTGAATTCCCATGTCCACTCATGCTATTGTATTGTATTTATACCAACACTCTTCTCCTTAACAATGAATTTTGTGTTAATAGTTAATGTTGTTTTGGTTTCATATGAAATTTATCTGATCATGTTGGGTGTTGCAGATTCCCAGGCTTTATTTTGTGTCAACACAAATACTGGTCATAGAGGCCGTCGAGGTGCATCAAATAGCAAAGCTAACTCTATAAAACGTGAGGAGACGTCCTTGCTGGTTCCGAAGGTAAGGGCACCCAACGATTGATAGTTCTGTATATCGTGAAGCTCTCTGAACTTCAATTTTGTAGACTAATTAAATGATGGAAGAAATAGGCAAGACTAGGACAACTCGATTTTTCTGTATAAAACAATTAGCATACACACCCTGTTGTCATTGTGGGGGAAAAGAACAGTCACATTCTCTTTTATTCTGAGGATGTCTGATTTAGCAAACTATAATTCTGCTATTATTGCTAAACTCGTCTTGTTTCTGAAGCGTTTGTCGAGGAAGGTTTTGTGTAATTAGTTAGGGGCTGTAATATTATCACGCATCATCAATCTGCTTGGTTATTTCGATGGTGGTCATTTGTATCAACTGAATCCTTCTTACGTTTGATTTTGTTATTCAACTTGTTTGTTTCTCCGTCCACAAATTGGAAAACTTCATACGCAGAGCAGAACCCTCTAACTTTAACTTTTTAACTTCAAACATTCGAAAAATTTTATAATACTCAAGGAGTAACTAGTGATATGTATAGTAGTTATTTTTTTCTTTTTTTGTTTATTTTTTTCTTTAAATGGATTCATGGAGTAATTATTGTATATATTACTAGTTATTTCTTAAGTATTATAAAATTTCTTCAAACATTCATCACTTTCGTCGGTGCTGCTGATAATTTTATAAAATTTATTTAGATATTTTAATTAATTATGAAAGTTTGAACTTATGAAATAAAAATCTACTAGTTGTGGAAATGTTTTAATGTATTATTAGTTTATAATATCTATTATCATGTGTGTATTCTATGTTTGAGTTTAAGAATGAAAAGTAGATAATGAAAGTTGCGTAATATTAAATGATGACAATAAGAAAAATTATAATTTACTTATAAAATTTATAAATTGCCTGTTTTAAAATGCAATTGGGAGCTTGCTATTTTTTTTTTATATATTTCAAACGATTTATGATCACAAAATATTATTAGAATTGTAGAAATTAAATTTTTTAAAAATTAATAATCTTTTTACTGAAATTTTTCTCAACTAATATACTACCTGAGCCACACAAGATGCTTTTTGACTAACAGCTACATAAACACATATTACATTTTGTACTTGTTGATTGAGAATCTTATCTGTGACTCCTGCTGTTTTATCAGTCTGTCTGTCCTCAATAATTAATTCTCACTGACCACTAATTAAATCTCACCTACCACCTGTAATTAAATCTCACCGACCACCTGTAATTAAATCTCACCTGCCACCTGTCCCCACTAATTAATTCTCACCGACCACGTCCTATAGGAATTATTGCCTGTCCCCAATAATTAATTCTCACTGACCACGTCCTACAACAATAAGTCCTTTGAAATTCTGGATGGTATAACTCTTACCATTCAAATTTTCTTAATCCATACAACATGTAATGTCTTATCATTTTTATTTTTCATTTTTAATACGTATATGATATTAGATGAATATAACAATTTTTTTTTTTTTTTTGATATCAGAATAAAACAGTTATAACTAAACTTCATATTATCAATAATTAAATTTAATCTACAATCGGGATATAGAATATTTTTATACTTCATTCTATAAATAAATAATTTTGATAAATAAAAATTTAAACTAATATATATGCCCATATAGGTAGTTTTAAAATGCTTTTTTTTTGGCTGTGCCATTCATCGAAATTATAGAACACTCACCGATTCGCTGAGTAACTTCGAGAGAGATTTAGTTTAGATATGTAAGAACCGTGACAAAGGAAAGCCAGTCCCCATCATGCGTGTCTCTTCCTTGCAACCAAAATGACTGCTTTATCTCTTGGTCTGCCTTGAATCCGTACTTGCCTAGCTATCTTATTTTCTATTAGTGATGAGAATTATAGAGTACTTAAACCTGTACATCCAAAAAAGATTGCTTGGACCACCAATACGATATGTTTTATTTTATATATATATATATACATATAAGCCATGTGTCAAAGATTCTAAAACAAAGATGCAAATCTCATCGAAAATGTGATATTGTTTTTAATATTATCTTGCTTAGATTCCCTTCTTCTTAATTGTGATGCGAGGAGCAGTCGTGAAAATCCCACTTAATTTCTTACAATAATTAATTAAGTAGTTTGGCAAGATATTTTTTGATTTGAAAGCATAATAGTATTTCATATTTAGTAAAATATTGGAAAGTTCAAGCACTTATATATAAAATAACGTGTTGCTTATATATCGCCAATAATAAACTATTACGTACTAATAAATAATACGGACAGTAATTAATTAATAAAATTACAAATGGTTGAGGATTTTTTTTTTTTTTTAACTTATATAATTGATGATAAAGTAAGAGTGATTGAAAGCGTAAGGGAAGATAACTAAGATTGAGAGAATCAAATTTCTTTCCTTAAACCTAATATTATTTCCTCTCTCTTTCTATATATATACGCATCTGCCGTTCAAACCTAATATTATTTCCTCTCTCTTTCTATATATATACGCATCTGCCGTTCAAACCTTCAAGCCCAATATTAGGTGGTTTGAACGGCAGATGCGTAGAGAGAGAACACTTTATGGCTTCATGTTTGCCACTGTCATTATAAGCCAACATCAGGGTTACTACCGTTGTAGTCATTTTCCTATCAAGCTTTCACTTTCCTTCCACAGTCATGGAACTGACCTTTTTTCTTCAGCCTGTCTCATTTCTTTTCCTTCTTTCCCTTTGTACTTGTCTTTACCTCTTCTCCACATCAAAAAAGAAACCGACCAACAAAGCCTTCAAAAGCTACCCTATTCTCGGGGCATTGCCTGAATTCTTGGGAAACTATCATCGTTACCTCGACTGGATCACAGAAATCGCCATTAACAGCCCTGGCAATACTGCTGTCTTTCACTTTCCGGGAAACATCCACGGTGTCTTCTCGGCGAATCCTTCGAATGTTGAATACGTTCTGAAAACCAACTTCGAGAACTATCCGAAAGGCGACGAGTTTGTTTCGTATCTTGAAGACTTCTTTGGACGAGGAATCTTTAACTCTGATGGTGAAGCATGGAAAGTCCAAAGAAAAACTGCCATCCACGAGTTCAGCACAAAGTCACTCCGAACTTTTGTCGTTGATAAGGTTCAAGTTGGGATTTCGACGAGGTTGGTTCCGATCCTTGCAAAAGCCTCAAAAACTATGCAGGTGCTTGATTTCCAAGATGTTTTGGAGAGGTTTTCATTCGATATTATTTGTAAAGTTGTGTTAAATTTTGATCCTGACTGTCTTGGTGGCGACGCAACTGGCGGCGAAAAGCTTATGCGCGCATTTGAAGACTCTTCCGGGATTATTTTTGAGAGATTCTTGACTGTTGCTCCACTACAGTGGAAATTCCTTAAGTTTCTCAACATCGGAAGTGAGAGAAGGCTTAAAAGATCGATAAGGATTGTTCATGAATTTGCAGATAAGCTTATAAGTTCAAAGTTGGAAGCAAAAGGCATCAACAAAGACGAAGATTTAGTATCCCGGTTTATGGTAAACCATGAGAATTCACCTGAATTTCTTCGAGATATCTTGACAAACTTCCTCTTTGCAGGCCGAGAATCATTATCTGCGAGCTTGACATGGTTCTTTTGGTTATTATCATTACATCCAGATGTAGAGACCAACATATTAAAGGAGCTTGAAACAATTCGGGCACGCAACGGAAAAAAGATAGGAGAAATGTACAGTTTCGAAGAGCTCAGGGAAATGAACTATCTGCCCGCTGCAATTTCAGAATCATTAAGACTGTATCCCCCGGTACCAAGTGAACTTAAAACTTGCAAAAGTGACGATACATTGCCAGATGGTACATTTGTTGGAAAGGGTTGGTCTATGGAGTTTAGTGCATATGCCATGGCCAGGCTGGAGAATTTGTGGGGCAAGAACTGCAATGAGTTTGTGCCTGAAAGGTGGCTTGATGAGAATGGGACGTATAGGCAGGAGAGCCCATTCAAATATCCAGTATTTCTTGCTGGGCCAAGAATGTGCATTGGAAAAGACATGGCGTTTATTCAGATGAAATCGGTAGTAGCCTCAACTATTGAAAGGTTCAAGATTGATATGCATAATAAGGAGAAACCCCCTGAGCCTAAATTTTCTATGATACTCAGAATGAAGGATGGGATGAAAGTAACAGTTAAGGAAAGATCTGGGGGCATGATGGGTTGAGAAGGCCAGCAGTTTGTGCTAATAATGCAATTGTTTACTTAATTGTATTGATGTTTTTTCCCTTCGAGTTTGCCAAATTATTTTCTGTTCTGGTGTTTTGTGATTGTCCCCATCTCGGTCTAGTATTTGTTGGTATTCTTTGGGATGCTGCATTTCTTGTATCTTTTTCTATGTTCCATTGCGTGTAATTCTTGTCCTTGAAATCTTCAAGACTCTACGTTTCCTCCAACCTTTTCCATTGTTTGCTCGAATTGTTTCATGCTCCTTTAGTATATATGTTTGTCTCTAACATCTGGATGCAAAGATAGTAACTGATATATCTAGGATACTCGTCTACTTCCGGACTCTATTTAAGAGCGGTACGTAAAGAAATTATGATCCATTCTCAATCTATCATATTCCATATGAGAAAAGGTCGAATGAATGAAGCTCATTTGGATAGTCTGTCTGTAAACGGGCAATCATCAGTGTCCTCAGCCATCCGTCAATTGGCCAGACGGGTTTATACGGATCCTCCATATACCAAAAGCACATATGGTATACTCATTAAATAAATAAATGATGCCAGTATTTGGAGCCAAACACCAAACAATTCAACACACCCGTATGTATCACATAAATCACTTGAGAAAAACAGTGTCCGGATTCAAAACCAACACCGTATATTTTAATTCAGCATCACATATTTCGTAAGCCATTTCACAAAAATACAGCGTCTGACGTTCCAAAATCGACACCAAATACTTTTTCACGTAAATTTTATAATACGTGAAAGAGTAACTCAGTAGTATATACAGTAGTTACTTCACTGAATCTACGTTGATGAGAGATATAGACATATATAAAAAAAAAGAAACAGAAGAGAGAAAATTAAAAAAAAAATTGAACAAACGTGAAAATCTTTTATAATTTTTTATGGATCCGAATGTAATTTAATATATCCGTCTCTCTTCTCAAAATAGATTTATAAAATAATTATTATACATGCTATTAGTTACTATCTCGTATATTTTAAAATTTCTCTTTTTCCACGTCAACACATGGATCACATACCACATAATTGTTTAATAATAAGGTGTCCACGTTCAGAGCCAGCACCAATCGTTTAACAAGCATAGATCACATGTATTATCTAGCAAACTCGACATCAACCTTCGAAGTTAACATCGTACATCACAACACGTACACACATATCACACATATTCATTTCAATAAAACACGACATCAACTTTCAAAGCTAACACTGATCACTTTATCTCACACACATCTCATTTAATCAATCACAAACATGGTGTCAACCTTCAGAGTTAACATCGATCAGAATCTTCGAGCTTGACTTGGTTGTTTTGGTTATTATCTTTACATCCAAATGTGGAGATAAACATATTAAAGGAGCTTGAAACAATTTGGGCACGCAGCGAAAAAAGGACCGAAGAAATGTATAGTTTTGAAGAGCTCAGGGAAATTAATTATTTGCACGCCGCAATTTCAAAGTCATTAAGATTGTATCCCCGCAATACTAGATCACTGGGTCCATTGGAAATAAGAGTGTCCTCTAAGTTCTACCTTTAATGATATTTTTCAAAATAGTTTTCTGTTACTAAAGTGATGAGATATTTTTAATTGAAAATTTTTTATTTTCAAATAGCGTTTTAATGATATATAAAATTAATATCAAACCCTAAAATTGTACTTCGCTTTCTCTTTTATTTTCGCACTTCTCATTTTCTACTTTGTTGCTTCTATTCAATATCTTCTAGCTTCCAATTACTCTTATCTTCTTTTCTCCTTCATTGTCTTCTTTTATGTCCTTTTTTCTATTTCTCTTATTTGTATTTCTTAAATCCAATTTTTTTTTTTACTTTTATTTCTTAAACTCATAGATTGGTACCTGACAAGACCCATTACAAAATAATAATAATAATAATAATAATAAATAAGGCCTAATTTTACATATCCTAGATTTACAAATCACAAATTACAATAAATAATTCAAAAATTTGACACATTCTATCAACATTAATACACAACATAACATGAAAACTCCATTTTATTTTTCGAACTCATTCTTCAAAAAATCTAAAAAACTCTAACCAACAATCCAAATTCAACACACTTTACATAAAACTTGAAAATATGTTAAAACTAACAAAAGCAAATTCAAACTAACATTAACAAGTCAATTTCATGACTACAAACAAATTATAGAAAAAAACAGAGAGAGAGAGAGAGAGAGAGAGAGAGAGTCGCTATTCAGAAACTATAACAAAAATAAAAAAGGATGGGGAGAGAGAGAGAGAGAGAGAGAGAGAACATGGTTTGGTTTATTTATGGGAACAAAACCATCATTCAAATATTAAAAGGCATGAAGATAATGAAAATGTTTAGAGGGAGTGAGAGAAACCACAATGATAGAAATAACAAAGAAGACATAAGAGAGTGAGATATGTTTTACTTTTGGCATAGGTTTATATGTTAAAGAAATATTTTAAGTATGGATTGAATGATTAGTTTTTAAAAACAAGGGGAGCTAAATGATTCATTAATCAAAATGAAAGGAACTAAATTATATTTTACTCTCTATACGCCTGCATCGAGGAATAATAGAATGATATACCACTTCATTCTTGAATCCTTTTGTGAAAGAAAAAAGTGTTATCTGTTTTAAAGACCAAAAGACGTTTTTCAACCTTAAAACCTTAATTTTTCTCGACTTGAAAATGAATTACATTAACCAGTCTTATAAAATGTAGTTAAACATGAGAAAATCATTAAACACTTTCAAGCAAACAAATAGAAAATTACTGTAACGACATTTTACAATATAATTTATATTGTTGTCAAAAAATAATTAAAAAAAAAACCCATTTAGATTGCTCAAGGAAAAAAATGAAGACAATTGACGGAAAAGTACCGAGGATTGCAATAATAGTAAAAGAGCTATTAAATATACTACGAGAGATGGTATGTTACTATAATCATAAAAGGAAAGGCGAATATCATAATAACAAAATTAAAATTTTGAATGAACTTTGCAAATTGATTAACAATGCATATCCCGACTGCATAGGGATAGCACCGAATGGATACTCAACCTATTTATTTAAATTTTTATCCCATTCGTCAAAAGAAAACCCTACTCATCATCTATTAAAAAATTATCATATAAATCTATACCCCATTTATGCCCAATACATAATATTAAAAAATTATCATATAAATCTTTATCCCATTTATACTCAACAGATAATAATTCACCCGCTTATTTTTTGCTAGCTAAATTTAATTTATTAAAAATATTCATTTTAATCTTTATAAATTTCGAAGAAAGTTTTTTGCTCCTAAAAATTTAATCTTTTTCTACATTTTAATCATTTATTCATAAATTTTTTTTATCCTTAAAGTTTTTAGAAAAAAATATTTTAATCGTTAATTCTTAAATTTATACAATCAAATCCCTACATGATAAAAAAAATCTAAATAAATTATTAGATATTAATAACATAAAAAATAGATAATCATAGCTTAAAATCATATTATGTATATTTTTTTTACCCTTAACCACTTCTTATTTGAATATCCATTAGATATTTTTAACACGTATTTATTGAGTCAGGTAAAACAAGTGTCCATCTTATAACTGACCCGTTGCCATCCCTACTTCTGCCATTGTACACTCCTATTCCAATAACATAGCAACAGCCAAGAATGCAAACCTAAAGTTTTGTGGCATACAAAATTTTTTCCCAAATATAAATCCGTTCCATATATAATTCATTTAACAAAACATTTTAAAAATAAGAAAATTCTATACAAATAAATGTTTATCACGTATAATTGCATTAGATCAGTAATCTCCTCTCCTGCTGTAAGCAAGATCGCCAAGAAAATTGTCGTCGTTTTCACATTCTTCCAAGAAATCCTTGCGAGAAGGATCATAAGCAACAACTAATCGCAGATATTTGACAGCCTCAACTTTTCGACCTTCCCTACTTAAAGCACTGAAACATCATGTCCAATCCAACATTTTAGCGCCAAACAAAAAACAAGTTAGGACTGGAAAATATAAAGTGAAAGAAGTTATGGAAACTGAAATTTACGAGCAAGTACAGTTTTAAGAAGCAAAAGATCAATAAGTTCCCACATTTTTTTTGTTCACCAATAGGTTCATCTTCAGATTTTTTTTTTATTTTTTCAAAAACCAGTGCAGCCTCTGTTATATTTCTTGAAATACTCTTTGAATATAAGAGTGTCAATCCAACCAATCAATTACAATCATCATTTCAAGACTCCAGGAACAAGAAGCGCTACATCTTCTTTACCAAATTGTAGACATTGTCTTCTCTACAGTATCAATGTATTGCCATAAAAGAGAAACACAAGGGTTTCATTCTTCTTCTTCTAATATAGGCATCGGTTTTAACGTCCAGGGTTTCACAATCAATTATATGAATTTCACAAACACCAGTCATTATATGTACTTAATATTTAGAACTGTTTCTCTAAAGCATCAACAGGCATTGTTTGCAAAACCACTCAACTGCCTTTCTTATTTTTTCTTTTTCTAGAGCAAGAACTGCATTATCAATATGTATATATTGAAAAGAAATGCACAACGATCTATTGTTCAAAGACTAACTCAGTCAACCATGAAACATTGGCAAGCGATTTTGTCAGTACACAGACAAGACACTTATAAACCATCTAGCAAGTTCTCTCCTGAAAATTATAAGGGGATGTAACTCTAAAGAGCTGAAATTGCATAGGCCCAAAAAAAAAAAACAAAAAAAACAAAAAAATCTGAGAAAAGGGGAATAGAGTTGGAAAAAAAAAAAAAAATCTGAGAAAGAAAGAGAGAAAAGGGGAATGGAGTTCTATAGTTTTCTTTTACAGGTAAATTGACAATTCATTGTTTCAGAAGGTATTTTAGTAAGTGCAAAAGAGGTAGAACAATTTTGAGAAAATAAGTAAAAAATGAACTTATTGGTCAATAAAAGAGATGATAAAACTTATTTGTCTTTAACTTGTAAAAAAAGTAAAACAATTGCTACTTTCTCATAGTCCTGCAGTCCCTTAAACTAAAGGAAAATGCTTGGTAACACCATAGTGACAGACACTATTTCTAAAAATAGAAAAGGTTTAGGGATAAATTTAAAAAGTAAAAATGTTAAATGACATAATACCCATTGAAATAAAGTACCATTTCTTGTATTCCTCCAAGAAAACACTACCCTTATAAAATTATGATGACTTTTTTTTTTTGACACCACTAGTGTTATGTAGTACTACTCTAAAATAAATGTCCTACTTTCCGTTTTTGGCAGTCTCAATTTAAGTGTCCAATTTCCAAGTCAACATATAATAATGACACACTTTCGCTGACTTTCCTTTAATATCCTTTACCATTTTCCATATTTACTAAAACCAAGAACACTGAAGAATGTAAATATTGTTAGGGGTAAAAGTGGAATAACATGTTGATAACAGCAACCATCACCGTATTTTTTTGTTCCTAAAAATTTGTGCAACCTCAATTAGGACCTTTATTTAGGGACTAAGAGAGTAGCTTGGAACAAAACAAATTCAAAAACTTTTCAGGCAGCATGTTTTCAATAGCTCAAATTCATACCTCGCAAGCAATAATAAACCATCAAAGTAGCGGGCTTTGCTTTTAGGGTCCTCTGGTTCTTCTAGACTTGCTACCCTTTCTAGGTGCACAATTCCTTCCGAATTCTTTCCCTACGCCGAGAGAGAGAGAGAGATTAAAACATAGTGATGCACCATCATTTTCCTTTGGGATGCAGATGCACTGCCACATTTAAAAGCCTGCCAACTCAAACCAAATTTATGGAATTACTTGCACTATGCCCAGTAGGGACAAGGGCAGGTATTACAAGAGAATTTGAAATAAATCTGAAGGGACTGATAAGTATAGCAGCGTACAGAAGAAAAATAAGGAGGAATATAGGTCCATGCAGAAACACAAGAAAAGCGAATGGTGACAATATTCCTTTTTAACAAAATTCGCAATGTTTATGAGTGCATTTTACTTTAGAACAATCACAAATGCATTAATGGTTTTCACCTGACTTATACAGGCAACACTTGCCCATTGAGATGCAAGGATTAGATGGTCGACATCTTCAGCTGTTGGATAGCCAGCAAGAAAGAGCTGTAAGTATGTCAGAAAGAAGATAAAATTAGTGTCAGAGACATTAAACAATACTATCAGAAGATTACAAATTGTGATGCTTCTGTTCACAAACTAAAGAACGTAAATAAGTTGCAAATGCATCCAGAAGATTGCAGCAGATGATAAGAGGTTTCTATAGCAAGTGACTAGACACAACAGTGGTCATCTTCAAAATTGTGATAAACAGAGATCATTCAAAATGCAAGCTCTGGAGCAAGATAAAGGTAGAGGTAAAATTACCTTGGAAATAGCACGCTCCAAATAGTCAGCAGCCTCTGCGTGGATTCCATCTTGCAGCAGAGTATGCCCCATAACAATTAAAGCCTTCATGTGGTTAGGTTCCTTCTTAAGTGCCATTCTATAACCAAAAGACAATAATGCAAACGCAACAAGGGATAAGATGGTTATCTGGTTTATAAATTAAATAAAAAGACGAAGACATAAGTTGGCCATCTGAACTGAAAAGGAAGAAGGAAACAGCAAGTTACTGCAACATAGAAATAGCTCTGTCTCTACGCCCACAGGATAACAGTTGAACTGACAGCTGTCAACAATGACAACAGGAAATGTGAGAAAACTTATAATATCTCCAAAATACAAATAATTTATTCACTTATCACCACTCACTACTAGTAGTTCATGAGGTGATAAATTTTCTGGAGAAACTTTGTGCCACTCTGTTGGTGAAACCAATGACATCGATTCTGGTGTAACCATTTCTTCAGAAATCGCAGGGGCTGTTGGAGAATCCTTGTCAAGTAACCCTAATGTAGCACGAACAACAGGATGTTTGAGAGATACTTGCTGCAAAATTGATTGTATCACATAAGACGGTAAAACTCATGCCTATAATGCCTGTTTAGGGGTTAAAACCATCTAAAATTTTCAAGACAATAAACTTCCAAACAAAAGGCTAAATTGTTCAGTAAATTCTAAGAAACCAAAAGGGAAATGAATCAATCATGAAGCAAAAAGGCAAATAGGCTGGGATTACTTTTATCTTCAATGAAAAAGTGCATTAATCAAGGCGCCAATAGATGGTACCACCCCTTGTACACTGAACAGGACAATTCACAGGTTTATGCATTTTAAATGACAATTTGAAGAAACTGTAGAAAGATCTTGTATGATTAGCCTATTCTAGAAATCATTCTATTTTAAGTAGTAGATCATTAGTCTCCTAAGTATTTGGGGTTAATTTCCTAAATAGTAGCTGTCACTATAATTTAGATATTTATATGTTTTTCCTAAAGACGCAGATTAGGAAAAGATCTCTGCCTATAAATATTTATAGCCTTACCTCAATGTACGATTGAATAAAATATTTTCTCTCTCCTAAAAACTTTCATGGTATCAAAGCAAGGTTCTCTTATTCGGCTATTTGTTGTCCAACCGGCTGTCTATTGCTTAACCCAAAAAAAATATGTCCGAGTGTCCTGTCCTTCAGGCCACCAATCTTGGGCAATCAATCTCAAGTGTTTGAGTTGACATTGAAACTTAGAGAAATCCGCCAAGGTGAAGAAAGTGTTACAAAATACTTTAATTCTTTGAAACGTCTGTGGCAAGATTTAGACTTATTCAGTGATGATTATGAGTGGAAATCATCAAAAGATTACCACCACTATAAGAAAAAGGTGGAGGATAATCATATATTTAAGTTTCTTATCGGACTAAATATTGAGTTTGATGATGTTAGGGGCAAATTATTGGTAGACAGCCACTTCCCACCATTGGAGAAGTGTTTTCTGAAGTTCAGAGGGAAGAAAGCCACAGACTTGTGATGTTAGGGAAGAAAAAACCTAACAAAACAGTGGAGAATTCTGCCCTAGCTACAGAGGCTTGTGCTGGCTGAATGGTTTAGGGGAAATTGGGGGAAAAATCTCGTGTTTGGTGTGACTATTACAATAAGCCAAATCACACACGTGAAACCTGCTAGAAGTTGCATGGAAAACCAGCAAATTGGAAAGGGAGAAGTGAGAGCAGAGGTCGGCCAACCTCTACTCATGAAGCCGAGACTTCCCCTTTCAGTAAAGAGCAATTGGATCACATCCTAAAGCTGCTAAAATCTAATTCTGCATTGTTGGGTGCACCTAATGCTTCTTTGGCACATTCAGGTAGTAATCCTAATGCCCTAGTATATCATTCTTTTTCTGCTCCCTGGATCATTGATTCAGGAGCTTCTGATCATATGACAAGTCTTTCAAATTTGTTTCATACTTATAACCCTTGTTTTTGTTATGAAAAAGTCCACACAGCAAATGGATCACATTCTCCTATTACTGGTAAAGGTTTACCTTGTCCTTTAAATCTGTTTTGGATGTACCTAAACTTACTTGTAATATCCTATCTATTAGCCAATTGTCTAAAGATTCTAACTGCCGTGTTTCTTTCTTTCGCTCTCATTGTGTTTCATGACTAGATTTCGGGAAGAATGATTGGCAGTTCTAGGATGATAGATGGTCTCTACAATTTTGATGATGAAGATTCCAAAGGTAAAAAATCTCAAGGCTTGAGTAGTATCAGTTCTCTTTCTATTACGGATCAAATTATGCTTTGGCACTATAGGTTAGGACATTCTAGTTTTTGGTATTTGAAAAGATTGTTTCCTATGTTATTTCAAGGATTGGACTGTTCAACATTTCATTGTGAAAGTTGTATTTGATCAAAAAATTGTAAATCCTTTTATCCCTCACAACCTTATAAACTTTCAAAACCATTTTATCTTATCCATAGTGATGTTTGGGGTCCTTTGCAGATTTGCACAGTTTCAGACTCGTTTTATCTTATCCATAGTAATGGGGCTACATTGAGGTTTCCTTGAGATAATATAATAAGATTAACCAAGAAAGAATAGCAAGCTATGAATAGAATAAAAGATTTATCTTGAAATCATAAAGTGTGACAACTAACCTGGATTGCAGTAAATGAACTATTGGTAACCCAGTAGACCAGACTTCCCTGTAAGACAAAGAAAACAAAGCAAATGTGAGTCTGAACCTGGAACGGTGTAAGGAGAAGCTCAGTATCAAAATAAAGTAGCTATCTGTCCTGATGGAAGGTATTGTAAGCAGAATCTTTTTACCATATCATTATAACCCCCCACTAAAACAGCTGCAAAAATCAGAATGTAATGAAGCAACCCAATTATTTAGATTCAAAAGGAGATTGGTATTGATTGATTAAAATAAATTGAGCCTTCATAGATTGGTTTTTTTAAGTTTGTTGTATTTATTTCTTTCTTCACTTGGTTCTACACCAGGGAGTTGCCGACATGAAAGAGAAAAGTGCATACATAAATGCAAGAAGACTGTTGAATGTGAACGAATGCAGAAACGAAGAGGAATGTAGGTTGACGAGACTCCAAAACAGTATGCCAAAGTTGGTGATTAGAAGCGAAGCAACCTAAGAAGCCTGTCAGCAAATTTTATTCTTGACATGTGTCACATGAACGCCATGCAGTAGAACTGCTCATGTGGCATAGGAAATGGGGGTAGCAAACAAGTTTAGCTCATCATGTCTAAAGTTTTACGCCCTGTTTGGAAATTCTTGAATGGATAGATTGAGTTGAATAAATTAAGTGCTTATGCAGACAACAAAAGAAGCAAAATTAATGTCTTTTTCTAGACAAGGGTATTTATGGATCTTCCAGAAAATTGTCCAGATCTAGGCTTTTATTATGTTACTCTTAAAGTTATTAGGTTTCATATTCAAAATCGGAACAGTTATGTTGTAAGTTTAAGAATCTAGGTCCTTATTGGATTTGAAGTTTTGAACAACTAAAACTCTATAAATAAGCAAGTAGTCTTCTAATGGCAGTTTATGAATAGAATTCCAGTACTTTGCTTTTGATTGTGTAACTCAATCTCCTTTAGGTGAGACTCCTAAGAAACCTAGGTGTGAAGCTTATGTTTTTTATCCTCTACATGTGCTCCTAGAAACCCAATTAGCGTGGCTCTTATAGTTTCTACAATTTCCAACAACTCAAATCCTATATTCCAACCATCAAACAACCTCTATTGAATTCCTAAACAACCACACATTCAAAAACCCCATTAATCCTATAGTTATTAACCATCTAAAGATCAACTCAAACCCTAAAATAGTAATTCGTGCCACTGTTCATAGCCTTAACAGCCTCTGAAAGTCAGATCCAGCACAGCCCCCAAAACTTTCCTATATTAACTCCACAAGGTCCAATTCCCGTGTTTGAATGTATTATTATTATTATTGTTATAGAAAAATGAGAGGCTCTGTACAAAATTGCAAATCCTACCAAAATGGGTGCAGTTTGGTGAGATTCAATCGCAAGCCTAAAAACTGTATTTATCTCAAATTTTATTAGTTATTCTTAATATGTACATAGGCAAAGCTTCTTTTTTTCTTTTTCTTTTTTTCCTTTTTGGGAAAGAGAGAATTTTTATAGTTTTTTTTTTTTTTTTTTTTCGCTTTTGGTTTTAATTAAAAGAAAAATAAAATTAAAAATAAATAAATAAATGGAATCGAAGCAACTAAGTAATATCAATGAACATATTAGTACTGTCTCTAAACATGTTATCAAACTTTTATATATTAAACAAGATTAAGAGCTAACATTCTGAAAATACTATTTTTGCTTTTGCTGTCAAAGTTTCATTAAACTTCTCCCAATAAATTACAAAAAAAAAAAACATATGAATAATGGAGTAAAACTCTGGACCACTAAACCCTTTTTATTTGATTAGGTTACCAAACTTATTCATACAACTCCATTATCAATTAATTGATTTTGTTCCCATTGATGCACGTGATACCACAATTACAGTACCAAGAATATTGAATCCTATCCTTTAGAATGATTTCGGGTGAATCTCAAAGAATAAAAGTTGTTTATCTATGTCTTGACTAACTTCCTGTAAAATATTTTCATTATTAGGTTTATATAGAAAAAGTTATGCCCGTTTTAGTACAGGCTGTGCTGGGCGAACTACTGCTAGACAGATTGAAACTTAAATTTCAAAATTATGTTATGAATTGTGTGTTTGGTATTTAAACCTAATTTTTGGATATGTTATGAATCAATATGTGTAGTTTCTAATAAAAAAAGGATAGGATTTAATTATGCTCAGAAATTGGTACGTCACCTACTTGATTAGAGGCTGCCCTATAATAAACCACAAATTGGATAAGAGGAGAAAATGAATTCCTAGGGTTTTCACTAAAGAATCTTTTCGGCTTAAGTAAGAAAATGAATAAGATTGGACCCATTTTATGTAATTAAGGACATAGGACTCAATTACAATTTAATTAGGTATACATTAATAAGTTGAGATGAAAAAATAACCTTTGGCTACTTTAAGGACCTATTTGGCTTAAATCCTAAACTCGTGGGGATTTGGATTTTAATCCTTCAATTCCATAATTAATGATTCGAGTATACCCTAATAAGTATAAAAGGATGTTTAAATAGGAAAAATTGCTAGGTAAACTGAAATTTTGACTAAGAACATTAAAAGCCCAATTCAGCTCAAAATGCCCAATTTGGGTTCGAAGAAAAAAAAAATGTCACCTTAGTATGTTTTAAACCGGTGTATGAACTATATGGTGAAAGTAGTTTAGGTTGGATATCGAGAATGAAATAATGATGTAGATGGGTTGGATATTGAAGACGAAATAATGGTGTAGGATTTGATATCCAATATCCTTGGTAATTGTGGTATCACGTGCATCAATGGAAAAGATATGGGAACATAATCAATTAATTGAGAATGGAGTTGTATGAATAGATTTGGTAATCTAATCAAATAAAAGGGATTAACGAGTCAACCGTGTGCGTACTCTAAGCCGTGTGCTCGCACTATTAGGCGATGGATTCCCGTTAGCGAGTGGCTACAACGAGGGATAATTCCGTTGTTAGCATTCGGTGATTCGGTAATCACCTCTAAAGTAGACCGCTAATACCTGTGGTACCCATAATTAAAAATTGATGAGAATAATGGGAAGTCAAAAAAGCATTGCATATCACATGCATCGCCCCACTTACCGAACTTCGGCTCACCTCGTTGTTATTTGCATGTTATGACAGGTAGTGGTGACCGTAGTATCAATAAGGACGCTGCCGGATCCTCCAAAAGGGCTCGGGGGTGACATAAACCTTAGAGTACTTTATTTTGTTTGTAAATTTTAGGGTTGGGGTGTCGAGGAATATTTTGATGGTGTTGTAAATAAATTTTGTAATTTCTTCCATCGTATTGTTAATATTATGTAAATTATTTTGTACACGTTTCATGGTATGATAAATCCTTAACGTATGAGCATGTACGTGTCTAAGGTTAATTCGAAGACCGGTCGTGTCAACGCGATGCGCCTCGCCTAGTTACTCCTATTTGGGTAATAGAGAGTGAACCGGGGTGGGGGCGTCACGGTGGTGGTATTAAATCTCTTCATCATGAAAAATACAGATGAAAGATTGGGATGGTACTATTGTTTTGATCAGAGTCACTAAGCTATGACTGACATTGATTTTTTACTATTAATAAATAAAAACTAATTAAACCCTTCATTCAGTAGGTGTTCTTATAGATTTGAACTCTTAATAGAATATCAATTATCTTCATTTTCTTCTTGACCTAAATGATTAAGGCAACTTGTGGTGTTGCAATGTTAGAGTAGGATAACATATGTTGAATGTAGAAAGCCACACGACAAGGAATTGAACAAGTTGGTATGTATAATCTAGTTTGTCTAGGTAGAGAATCCGAGAATCAAAAGTTAATGCAATTTTTTTCCCCTAAATTTTAGACAGATAGAAAGTCTTATAAATAAGTTACAATTACTAGAGAATAAATCAGAAATTTTTTATGAGTTTATATGGTTATAAATAATCATTAATTTGGAAATAGATGGGACAATTTGGTCCTACATAAAGGACCAATTTTCTATTAAAAAATATTCTCTAAATACTGATGGTTTAATTGAACTATAGATGATCTTTGACCACAATGTATACGATGGTCAGGAGTTGCTATTAGTGAACAATTTTTAGCACAAAAACAACAAATCTTAACTCTACAGGGGCAAGGAAAAGATCAAAAGACACTTATAGTAGCACACTAAAGCAAAGTAAATTTCACAGAAAATCTTAACCAACTATATCATTATCTTCAAGGTGGTAAGCTAAGATAAATGCAATCTGACCAAATATAACATTCTAAAATTCCAAGAAACATTAAGTCAGATGTTAAGTTACCTGTGGAATGCAGTAACCAATGAAAAACATAGGCAGTGTCAAAGATATCAGATAATACTTGTAGTACTGCAGTAACAAAGACATTTCAATCACTGGCAAGAACCAAAAGGGTACTGCACATATCAGGAGAAGAATTCAATCAAAACACAAGAATCAAGCAACCGATGAACTTGTAGTGCTCACTTTTGATAATAACCCCAACAGGCCACTCATGTTTCGAACAGAAGATCTATCAAAAGAAAGCTGAAAAAATAAAACCAATATCAAACGAGTCAGTGAACAATTGAAACATTTTCCATGAATAACTTATCAAAAACATTGCTACTGGAAAAACATCTCAGAAGAAAACCTAGCTTTTTAGAAAGCAAAACCATTTCCCTTAAAAAAACATATAAATACTTCCCACGGGAAAAAATATGTTAACCAAACTACTAACACAGCATATTGTCAGAGGTATTAAAGCAACCGAGAAAAGAAAATCTCCTTGTAAATCCAACATCATAGAAGCAGATGTTCTTTGTTTAAAATGAACAAGGGCACTGTTTATATAAGTTAGCATATAAGTGTGTGATATATGTTTTAGATGCCCAAAATTAAACATTCCTCCATCTTATCCTGTTACTCAGCGTACCTCAATCTTATCATGTTATTGTTGTTTATAGCCATAGAGCAAAGGAAAGATGAAGAATGTTAAGTGAGATTTCTTTGAGACATATGGTCTTGGGCTCAAAGCATATCTTTCCACACGAGTAGTCTATGGACTAAAGCAGATAGCAGTTGGATAGACCTTGCAGAAAACAGCTTAGCTATTGGTCAATTTAGACCATTCTGGGTTGATGAAAATGGGATCATGAAGTTATTGTGGTCAACAGTCTGATCAGTTTGACAGGAGATCAAGGTTTCACAAACCTTGTGCGAATGATCCTCTGTTTTATTTAATAGTTGTTATGAGTGTATCTCATGTTCTCCACATTCTTTACCAAGGAATGGCATAACATCCAAGGACAAGGGAATTCTTTTTCCAGGAGTGAAAAGAAGAAATTCATGAAGAAAATAATGAAAATCATGATAAAGAACATTCCAATTCTTCAACGATAAGCCAATGCAGCTCCTCTAACACCTGAAAATCGGCTCCATGACAAGATCATCTCTTACAATGATTGCTACATAGCGAAGCACACCATAAAAATTCAAATATTTCTTTCCATCCACAAACTCCAAACATTTACAGGTATCATGCATGTCCTCTCATCTTAATAAGTAGTACACATGCAAGGATTATCAAATAATATCTCAATATAGTTGGCTTTCATAGAGTTTTTTCACCTTCAGTTTCTCACTATGGTTGTAGCTGTGGTGTGTGAATCTACTGCACACTAACTTTCCATCTTCATTTGTGTATTCTTTTTCATTTATTTAATAATATGGTCATCTTGTGTTTTATCAAAACAAAAATAAAATAAAATAAAAATAGCTTGTGACATTCTTCACACATGATAGCTCATCAATATCGATAGTCATAATGATTATAGGTGCAAAAAGAATAACAAAAAATACATTGGTCCAGTACATGGTTATGCCACGAAGACCATTTGCGCTTTCGTATTATTTTTGGGTACAGGAGGAAGTTCAGCCTTTAGCACACTCATACTCAGGCTAACCAAATGCCAATGGACAAGTGAAGCTATTTATTTTATTTCTGCTTTGTTATATTATCTAGGACTGACTAGCGTGTGACTTCTTAAATATTTGAACAGCTACATTAGAAGCTTAGTTGAGTTTAATCTAGGGCTGAAACCTCTGGTTTTTATTGTAAAAATAAGCTGTACATCAGATTTATTGCCTCATTCTTTTCATCAATTAAACTTCAAAAACTAGAGGTTTACTTTAAAGTTTAAACCACAGGGGGGTGTTTGTTTTGCGTAAAAACATTTTACATGTAAAATCTTTATGGCAAAATGTTTTACATGGAACTTATTTCCAATATCTGGCAAGTAATGACATTAAAAATGTGGTAGTCATGATGGAATGTTGGTGGAGGTGGAGTGGCGATGGCTATAAGGTGGTGATCGTGGTTGCAATGATGGTTCTGGTGGCAATGGAATGATAGTGGTGGTGGTGGAGTATACAATGGTGGAGATGATGGAAGCGGAAGCAATGACGAAGGAGTGGTGGTGGTGGTGGTGACAAAATGGTGTTGGTGGTAGTGGTGGCGACAGCAACAGCAACAAAGGAGAAGTAGCAGGGTTGATGTTTCTATAAAACTTTTACCTGAAAAATATTTTACACAAAACAAATACCTCCTAAGTAACAATATCAGTTCCAACTCCTGTTTCCAGGCTTATATCTGCAGATGTACTTCTATTTTTCCCTCTAAACTATGTCAAATTTGGTAACATGGCAAATCAGATTCTAAAGTCTTGATTTTAAGCAATGGTTGGATGCAGTAAACAGCAAGAAAGAGGAAATCAAGGTCAATAAAAGATTTGGCTAAGATGCAACTTAAGATTGAAGTTTTGTCATGGAATATTTACACTTTGCAGCAAAAAGACCGAATAAAGATTCTAGAATGTGACCACAAGCCATTAAACATGCCAGAAGGTGGTGGTCTAGGGATGAAATTGACCATGGAGAGGATGGAAACCCCTTTCATGATGTTGAACCTATGAGCAGTGCTATACGAGGTGGATCAGAAAAGCGTTAGGTGCATGACCTTTTGAATCAAAATCAAAGATGCTTATTTTCATGGGAAGATGCATGGGGAAGACTATTTGGAATGGGAAGTTGGTGAGGAGAATTATTGAGTGAAAACATGGGGAAAAACAAGAAAGTGTTGTTTGTTAACCTTAAGTTAAAAGACATTGCACTATAATGGTGGAACAGAGTTGAAAAGCAACATGTATGACAAGAAAAAACTGAAAATCAGCACTTGGGAACAAATGAAAGTAATTATGCAGTAAGGATGGAGATGTATGAGAAGTTCCTTTTCATTGAAACAAACAGGTATCTTGCAAAAAGAATATACCAGTGAAGATGAATCTGCCACCTTTCAATTCGCATTGGGCTCAATGAAACTAATGAGTAGATGACATCTCGATATCTTGCATGATTGAATTGATATGTTAAAGAGGAGTTTCAAGTGGTATGATTATTTAATCTTGAAGATGCTCCCCAACATCCTTTAATGTCTGAAAAATGTGTGGTGATATGGTATGAGGCCTATGTTTGCAGGGATCAGCGTTGCACAAAGGGGGCCTAGAGCTGTTCGGATTATTGAATGTAATGAAATTGACACCAGAGACAGTCATGTGACTTCTGCACTCAACCAAACTGGTGTAGAAGACATTGCAATGTTGACGGAAGCGGAAAGGGGAAAGCTTTAGTAAGATTTAGGGCAGCAAACAGTTTTCTTCCTAATGTTTCTAAAGCTGGAAGCAGTCCAAATATTCGATATTTTACATGTGGATAAAGGAGCCATGGTTCTAATTCATGTCTGAAACAAAGGACGAACCAATCTAAGTTAGAGGGGATGAGGGATTGATGTGTTAGAAACAGTTTATGATGAGTGTCTTCAAGAAAAGGAAGAAATCAATATGCAGCCAACAAGGGTATCTTTGATGATTTGAGTTATGACAACCACAACCCAAGAAGAAGTGAAGGATTTGAGAAGGCTTGGCATCATAAAACCAATCTACGATGTTTGTGTTTATGGTAACCACGATGACAAAAAGAATGAATACAACCATAAGGATGCACTAAAAGTTTAGAAGTTTAAAGCAAGGTGAACATGAAGCAACTTGGCAATAGATATTAATGACCATGATGATGTGTTCTTGAACATATAGTCTACACAAATTACACAATGGGAACAACTAGACGAGGCAACTTTGTACTGTACAATCTACCATTCGAGAGATCAAGAGAAGAAGAAATCACGAATTCAAGTTCATTATGTTAGATTTATCATGGATGAAGTAAGGCTAATATTTAGTATTGTCACACACTAGAGGCAACGAAAGAAAATGGGTTGGCAAGTTTTGATTGGACATCCACAAGATTGAGGCAAGAACGAGTTTTTATAACCAGAGGGGATTGACAGTTGAGTTTTTTTTTCAAGTCCGGGAGAATGATGCAGGAGCTGATAATTATTTATTTTATTTCTGCTTTATGTTTTATAGTAGCTGGGAGAGTCTTTTAATCAATTAAACTTCAGAAACTAGATGTTTACTTTAAGCTCTAAGCTGCAATATCAGTTCCAACTCCTTTCTATTTGTTTCCAGCCTTATATTTTCTGATCTGTAGCTGTTGTTCTCTCTAAACAGGTCAAAAAGGAATGTACCTTCATTTGCCTCATTAAACCATTTCTAGCAGGCACTAATCATCTTAATAAAACACATAAAGATTTTATTTGGAAGTCACAGAAGAGTCTAAGATTATGTGTTGTATAGCTTTGGCATGTTTTAGAAGCGTTGCCCCATGTGAGTGCCATATTAACTTAATAGACATATTCCCATCTCAATGTAGCATCTTGTGAGGTTCTAAACTGGGTAACAATATGACCAAAGTGATATGTATAGTATAAACAACTTCAAATAATAATCATAATACTAAGCCGTGTAACTATGTAAAGCACGTATCATAGTTTTTGCATTGTTGCATCATGTAGAAAATTAGTGTTGGAGAAACAATGGTATTCTATATCCTTTGGTTTCGTCCAATTATATTCCCACATTACTGGCATGTCATGGAGTTGGTAACTAATATCTTAGTGATTGTAACAGAAGTCAATCACCAACCAACACAAGTGCAAAGTCAACTACTTGGAGAAGATTAAAAAAAAAAACACCTTAACAAGATTTGATCATATGTTATTTGAAGTTCTGTCATAAATTTTGATTCAACAAAAAGTTAAAATCATAAATGAGACAGTATGGAGCCAAATACCTGAACATTAACATAGTGCAAGCCAGCAATAAGGAGTGGAAAGATGGAGGCTAAACCACCATGAGGAAATTCAGTCAAATTCTGAAACCATAGAGTGCCACCCTGTAATCATTTGCCGAAGAATTTCACATTAAATTTACTAAATGGACCAAGTAATCCGAATGCAATCACCAGCTTTGATGCATGCTTCATGATTAAAGATATCTCTACAGCACCACAAATATACCAAACAAAGATAAAAATCACACTAACACCAGAAATAAACGAAATAAAAAAAAATCAAGAAAAATATATTGAGATTAAGCTTCTCCACTGATTGAAAGCTTTGATTTGATGAAAAATATATTGAGAGCCCATGAGTGATGAATTTACTTCATATCCAGGGAAAAAAATCAAGAAAAAGTCCAACAATAATTAATCGGTAGAAAATTGACCATTTGAAAGATGTGTTGCTACTGGACCATTATGAGGAAAGGAACAAAAAAAGTTAGGAATGAACAATTTAAATGTGAACTATAGAAATAAATATGTCCAGCCATAACAAAAGCAAAGAGCTAATACTATAATACTGCAGGCAGAAAAAATATTTTCAGCTGGCATAACTAAAGAAACAAGCAAAAACTGTCATTTAAAGCTAGAAAAGTTGATCATTGGAGTACATAACAGTTTTCCATTTCAAGTTTTACAATTGCCAAATGAATAATGTTCTTACAGAAAAAGATCTTAGAAGGGAACAATCCTAAACAATTCTTCCTGCAGTACACTGCATGAATTAACTTGTAATACACCAGGGGAATATCAAATACTTCTTTTTAGTAATTGCGCTAGACAATGACCTTTGCAAACAAACTAGTTTATACATCCACTTTGATTGCCTCATTATGGCAGACTTGTTGGATGAACTATAGATACTGAACCATAAAGTTCATTCAATTTTTTTAAAATTTTTTATTTTTTTTAAAGTTAAAAGTTCATTGAGATTTCATCTATTGCAAACTTTTTTATCCGAAGTGACATTAAAATAAAACATGATAGAAAAGTTATACTACATAACCAATAGTTCAACATTGACCTCACGATTGAATTAACGAACCACAGTCCAGCAAAGGTCTGATAACCTTCCTACAAATAATAATGTTCCCAACAACCATGTAGAATAATAAACTATCTCAGAATGTCATTTCCTTACACAATCAAACCCAGGATGATTATTCAGAGACATTCTTCGAATACTAGTCATCCACAAGAGAAAGCAAGGAAGCTGCAGATACATTGAGAGAAAAAGGCAAAATTAATAACTAGAAAACAATTCACCTAACTATGAAGTCTACCATAATTTAAAATTTGTGGGAAAAAATGATAGAAAATCTAAAATTTCTCTCACTACAAAGTGCAAAAAAGTTCATAATTACTGGACAAAAAATACAGGGGACAAGTTATTAAAGTATTTCGTCAAATTTTCTCATTTCCTAAGATTGACTACGTACTAGCCTGTAAGTAAGTCCAAAAAGATAAAGTTGCTTCACCTGTATGGAAAGGTATGCAATAAACCATGAATATGAGGGGCAGCCAATCGCTTGTCTTTCCTTTCTGAAATGGGAGATTTGTTCAATATAGCTCCTTCCTGATAGAGGTGGTGGGAATAGAGGAGGCACTATCAGAAATGAATATTGAAGGTCAAGCCTCTGATACTAAAAATTAATACTACACTACTACTTAGAAGTAAATAAAGAGAGAATAAGAAATCCTTACATTTAGGAAAACATTCTGAGATTTGCTTTATCTTGTGCATTTGCAAAACAAGTAATGGAAACAGAGTCATTCTCATTACCAATGTCGATGAAGTAATGATTATCCACCTGCAAAATTAATCACGCATCTTTCTTTCTTGAAAGAAACAAAAAATAAACCAAAATTGAGTGGAGCCTGAGAGATTTACCAAGGGAGGCCAGTGAGATCATGAAAAGAATCCAACAATGAAATTACTGCACCAACCGGAAGAATCGACTCTTCAACAACACGACTACCGTTGACCACTCCCTCCGTTACAGCATCGAGTTCAAATTTGATAGGTTGTAACTCCGAGGGTGACTCAGAAGACAAAAAATCGGAGTCGTCATCCGTGCGAGTCGAGAAGGATTGGAAAGAAGGGAAAAGAAAAGAGGCGAGTGAGTTGCGAGACGGTATTCCAGCTTGTGAAGTGAGAGAGTTAGAGTTAGAGTTAGGGTTAGGGTTTGCGCGGAGACGAGAGAGAGTGGAGAGAAGACGAGAACGACGGAGGGAGGACATTATAAGACTGGAATTTGCCATTATTTCCGCCAAAACATAAGACCAGATACCTTAGAATGACCTATTTTTATTTTATTTTATTTTATTTTTGAACGAGAAATGAGAAAACGGTTACTTTTTAGTTTTTAGTGGTTAATCACACACCGTCTCTTTACTTAATAGATTTAATTAAACGACTCCCTATACTTTAAATTAATTAATTGAATCCCTATACTACTATTTCCATGAACAATTTGGACCCTTCTCCATCTTTGACATGCTTATAATACTTCGTCTTGATTCTTGAGTTCGTAGGCTTGGTCCAAGATTGATTCAAGCAACAAAAGAGCATTAACCTATTGATTATCAAAGGTTATAGAAGTTATACAAATCCATATGCTAAAGACATGTATGCTAATATATATATATATATGAGCTTGTCATACCTGCTACGTTAAGGACAAGACATTAAAAACAAGCAACAAAAAAGTTGTCATAAAAATCGGAATGCTTAATTATATTGAGACATCTTGAAGTAATATAATATTTTGTTGAAAATTAAACTTGTGTACATAGATTTCTTAATAAAACTCGTTAAAACTTTAAATATGAAGAGGGCTATATGAATTTAAAATGTCATCGATTATATAGTTATAAAATTTTCTCCTCCGTAACAAAAGATTTTAAGTTAGTGCATTTGTTACTCGAAATGAAAGTTATGTAAGATAAATGCATACCTCTAATATTAATGAAACCAGAGAATTAACGAGTATATACCAAGTAGGGATGAATGATCAACCTCTCATGAGGAAAAGGAAAAGGATTTTTTTCAAAAGGAAAGAATGGGGAATGCCATTTATATTGCTCTTTACGAGAGGAAAGAATGAGGAAAAGGGAAGGTGTCTAATACTTTTGTTGATTTTTTACAAATTGCATGCTTTTAAAGAAGGTTAATTATATATACACAATAGGTAGGGTGCGCCCGAGGAGAAAAATGAATTTCAAAAGGCTTGAAAATAGTTTTCGGATGCATCGCGTGCATTATATATATAATGAGCACTACATGTATTATATGGATTACACTTACTAAGTATTGCTTACCTAGTTTCTTCGGTGTAAGTGATAAAGGGTTGGAAGGTAATCGTTGTAGAGGAGGAGGACCGACTTGTCGTATCGTGTGCTTAATTATGTAGAATAAGTGAGAAAATGTTTACCTTTGCTTAATTTATTTTTAGATTTAGAAATGGATATTAGGCTAAGCAATCTATGGTATGTAAATGATGAATTATGTGTTTGAAGAATTAAATAGTATGTTTATGTTATTAGTTGCTGAGTTTGGTAGCTTAAGAAATTAATTGGATTGGTCTAAATGAATTAATAGACTAAGTAAAAGGGATTAATTAGAGGTTAAATGGAAGCATTGATTAAATGGTTAATAGGTTAAGAAGCTAAAGTCTTAATAGTAAAGAGTATGGAATTAAAATGGTAAGATAAAAATTATTACAAAGGTTAAAGCACCGAGAATAATTTAATAGTTAATGAATAAATGAATTTAATAAGTTAGTTTAATAGGTGAGTTTGAGTTAATTTGTAACCAAAGTTTCATAAGTCCAAAAAATGTTTTGAATTGTCAAAAATCTGATTAAAGGTCTAAATGAATTTATTAAGTGCTTAATTGAATTAATTAAATAGATTTCTAGATTATGAATTTTTTATAAAAATAATGGCATTAAATCAAGATATATATATTATTTTCTAATTATATTTAATATATTATAATTAAATTATTTTTGACATGAAAATAATATAGAATAATCATACTATATTTTATGGAATATTTGAAAATTGAATATTTCTATTTTAAATTATATATGAATTTTTAGAAGAAATTTGGAAAAATTAAAATACATGGTACTATTGTTATAATATAAGAATTTTATTCAAAATGTTAAATTGGAATCCAAGAATATTATTATTTTTTTTTTACCAAATTACGACATTTAATATTTCTACACATGATGTAGGAATATTAATTGATGTTAGTATAATTTTTTTATAAAAAAATTATACTTAAATTTTAATTAATTAGAACCTATTATTTTCTATTTATTAAGTACTTTGTACGAAAATTCACATTTTGCTAGTAATTTAAAAATATTAAAAAAACGAGACTTATTGATTTATATTTATTATACTTCGAATGTAAATTAACATCAGTAATGCTTTCGGCCTATCAGGTCATAAAGTTTTGTTGCCACGTAACACATAGATAATCATAATTTTTCACTTGGACAACATGTACAATCGACATCATTCAAGGTCTACTCAAATTAGACAATATCTAGATTCAAGATCTACTAAAGTAGAATATAGCTTGCTACTATCTAACATCATTGTCTTATGCATGCAAGCCACCAATTGACTCTTCTGCTTCTATAACGTTCAGTTCTAATGACTTGATTATTGATCTTAGAGGTACAAGGACTACTCGATTTGACAGATATTCTTTTATCTTGGCAAATGCAACTTGATTCTTCCTTCTATACATGAAATCTTTCAACTCCAATAAAGGTGCAAATATCTGTCTCTTCTTAGATATAAGCTTTTTAAATATCCAATAAAATCATAGAAACTTATAAATTCAGTTAATAGTTTATTGAGGTTTTTAATCTTCTGTTTAACACTTTAAATAATAACGGAGCCACTCCACACCAAATTAAATTAAAACAAAACCATGTAAACATAGTCAACATCTTTTATTCCTGCCTCACAAATCACAGTGATTTCATAGGGCATAAGCAGAACACTAATTCAGAACGATAAATATAACCATTTAAACTACCCTTCTACAATGGAGATGAACCAGACCCAACCGCCTTCCATAACTTGACCCATTCCACCATGGCATCAGCTGCGCGAGTGAAAACAGGAGATGACGGTCCCAACTGCTGCTTCACTGTTCTTGCCATCTCAATGACACAGTCTTCTGTTGTAGCTACTGTTTGTGGTAACCTCATTGACTGAAAGAAAGGGACAATTTCCTCCATCAGCTTTACCCCTTCCCACTCTTTTTTCAAGCTCTCTATCGCACTACCTCTGTCTTGTCTCCAAACATAAGGTAGCCCACTTTTCACACCAAGACCGAGGTGATCGCATACAACCTTAAGACACATCCCACTCCATATATCTTCCATTGTTTCCCATCTAAACTTTCCTTCCCCAGCCAGCTTCAACGCTGGCAACAAAGCAGGCCCCACAGACTCGCGATCGAAAGCAATGTTGATTCCACTGACGGGCATCATGGCCCTAGATGGAACAGTTATCACCGCATCAACGTATAGAGAATTCCTCTGTTGAGGTTTCAGGGCTTGTGTAGGTGCATCTAAGTCCGCCAAATTAAGCCAGAGTCCACATGAGAGAGCACATGTAACCCCATTCCGCAGGCTAAAGGGGTACCCACGAACGAAATCTGCTCCCTCACGATAAGGGTCATAGAGAGTATTAAAGAAAAAAGGAGTAGCTGGAGTTGTCAGGTTAGCAAGATGCTGAGCCACAGGATCAATTAGAAAACCCTTACTGTCCTTAGCTGGGATGCAATCATCATCAAACGAGACAATGTATTTCTTACGAGATACAAGAAAGCCAAAATACCTGCATGAGTAGCCAGAGAATACTATGGAGGAAGAAGAGCCCACTACCCGGTCAATATGAGACTTAGAATAGACATCAAAATTAAAGCCTTCTGGTATTTTGAGTTCCTCTTTGAGATCAGGGTCTTTGACAATTATCAAGTGGAATCGGGAGAATATGGTTCTCCATTCATTCATAAATGATGTCAGGTCCGACTGAAGTGCTCCTATCACAATGTCAACCTCACTGTCGTTGATATTAGCTAGAGGCATCTTCCCAAGTTACAAAAATGACAATCCAAAACAATTTGTTTCTTCTAAAAGCTTCTGGTCTTTGGATTTAAAATATATCCAAGTGTATACGCACAGTTTTGTCTATCTTAGAATTTCTCAGAACATCCTATCAAGAGACAATCAAAATGTTAGAGAAGAGCTTGAAATTCAGCACAGAACTTCTGGAAGGTAGGAAGAAAAGAAAAAAATCAAATATGACTCACTGGTAGGGAGGACAGGGGTTATGACATGTTGGATATTCAATGCCTTGATAAATGCCAGGACTTCATCTTTCCCAGTCGCCAAAAACAATGTCAGAACTTTCTCAGTCAGCTTTCCAGATTTCACTGTTCTCTGCTCAACATAGAAAAACAATGTTACACCAGGACAGGACAAAGACCAGAAGAACTTAATAAAAATAAAAGGTAGGGGCTATCAGACTGAGGAGAAAAGATGACGGATTGACAATGCATTGCTCAGATGCTAAAGGAATATTTATTGCTTTGGTTTAAATGGCAAGCTAATCCTTGCGTTGTGTGACTTATTAAAGCACAAATCACAAGGAAAAGTAAAAATTGCAATCTCTTGAACAAAAGATGGAATTAAGCACTGAATCACGCCATGAGATGGAATGGAACTGCTAGATAATCAGACAAGACAGAGCCATGAAAGTCTGAAGTAAGCTAGTGGCCACAAAGCAGCAGGTCAAATTGCTATTGCCTAAACAAGATGTTCACTTTTGCTGCCACTTAACCCCAGGACTTCCTCTAAAAAGGTTATATTAAGTGTACCTGGACCAATATTGCAAACAAGAACAGGACAATCAAGATATGATTTGCTAGCAATCAGATAAACCAAGCAAAATGTGATTCTTTTAACTCCAAGAGAACTTCAAAATTATACCATTGATTTTAATCCATTGCTGCATCAAAAGTTCAAAAGTTCCAGTGATGCAGACAACAAAAGAAGCAAAACTTGTATCTTTTTGTAGACAATGGTATTCTGTAATTTCTGGAAAATCTGGAAATTTGTCTAAGTCCAGGTTTTATTTTTTATTTAGCATTTTATCAATCCTAATGAGCAATGAGCTTTATTAGGTTTTTCCTATTCTACATAGACTTAGTATTTTCTTATTTAGAATCTAAGTCCTTGTTGGATTTGGACTACTAAAACCCTATAAATAAGCATGTAGTCTTCCAATATTTTCAATGACAGTTTATGAATAAAATTCCAGCAATTTGCTTTTTTTGATTGTGTGACTCAATCTTCCTTACGTATGACTCCTAAGAACCCTAGTTGTGAAGCTTAGGTTTTTCTATCCTCTAGGTATGACTCCTAGAAACACTAATAGTGTGACTCTAATAATTCTATAATTCCCAGCAGAAATGCACATCGATACAGACCTAAAAAGCCCTAAACAGCCACTAAACTCAGATCCAGAACAGCTCCCTAAGCTGTCCTGCATCTTCCAGAGAAACATATTAGCATAGATATCTCAGAATGTCAGTAATGTCTTTTTCCCACAAAACCTTCCGAATTATACTCTAAATTTAAAATTTTCAGCACACAGTCAGTAAATGCAAAATGACCATATATTCACTTTGCAACATGGCCTGTTATATGTGCAGCTTTCATATAAACATAATGCATGCAAAAGGTAACTACCAGATAATGCACAAAGGAAAAAAATACCAACACAGAACAGAACAAAGCATGTCAAATAATATCATAGGACGACGAGGAAGACCAAGCCTCGATCCCAAACTAATTGGGGTCAGCTATAAGGACCCTTTGGCGCGACTCCAAGCGATCAAACACCAAATCTGCCTCAAAATCAAGGGACCTTAAACCTTTGATAACACTTCCATCATGTCAAAAAAGAACTCAAATAAATTACTAGCAGCATCCATATTTTGTACTAATTACAACAATGCAGCGTTGACTTTCTTTATTCTCATCATTCCCACTACTATCAAATTCTCAGAACAAAGATCTCATAGCATTGAAATGTAAATTCATAAGGGAAAAAAAAAAACAATAATAACAATGCAAAGCATCCATAACTTAACCACGCAACATTTATCCAGTAGCCCCTGCCAAGAATAGAAGGCAAGACATACACGAACTGGACAAATAAGCTTTTCAAAAGTTTACACACTATTCGCCAGCAAAAGAAAATCACGGAGCTGAAAAAATCGCATAAATATTAGAAAATCCACACCCAGAATGTTACTAATAAAATTTAGAGAGGGGATTTACGGGTTCTAGCTAGATCTAAATCCATAGATCAGTTATCTAGAAATAAAAATAAATTAAAAAAAGGAAGAAAGCGGGGGATAGAGAGAGAGAAAAATACCCGGAAGAGATCGAGTAGAATGTGATCAGGTATGGGAGAGAGATCAGAAAAGTTAGAGAGGTGAAGGACAGCTGTGTCAATTGTTAGAGAGAGTAACGATGGCCGGCTGGTTCTCATCCAATCTTCTCTTCTCTATCTTTCTTTCATTTATTTTATTTACTATTTCTTTTATAATTAATTAATATCACTTCTCTCTCTCTCTCTCTCTCTCTCCAGTTTGTCCCGAGATTGCTGGCGGTGTTTTCTCCGTCGTCGCTTCAGCTGATCCTCAATCTTAGCCTGCCTGCCACGTAATTATATTATTTAATAAATATACTAAGAATTTAACTTGTTGACATCTCATATAAAAAGCGATTAAAATTAACTTTTTTATTTTCGTTGTGATACGGTTACTCTCTTTCTCACAACGAACTAAATTCAATTTTCAGTAGAGCCTAGATTAATGTAGAACATGTTTAATGACACTAGAAGAAGCTTCTACGGTATTTATTTTGGACAAAAAAACATCTTTATGATTTCAAATTAAATAACTTACAAGCTTGTGATTTTATCTATTAGAGAACAAAGAAATTTTTCATCCATAGTAAATCAAATTTTCCGTTAATTTTGACTTTTAAAAGTATGGAGAGACACATGTCATGTATACATTTATTTTAATTTTAGAAAAAATGATTGAAAATTCTAAAATTTCAAAAAAAAATACCAATTTTTTTATTTATTACTTTTCTTTTATGAATTTTTTCTTCATTTTAGGAAAAAAATTATTTTAGTTTAAAAAGTCAAATAAATTATTATTTGTTAATTCTTCACTTATTTTTGTTCCTTATAACAAATTGATTAGGGTATCTTCAATACTCTCTTTATATTAAGATTTTTCTTTATAATATAGATGTTTGACCTAAATTCCATCTTCAATGCTCTCTTTATCACAATCTTTATTTTTAAAATTGAGATACATAGTGTTTTTGGCTTTCCAATACTAGAGAGTCCAAATGACTCTTTATCTTATATTTTATTAATAAAAATTACTATTTCTTATGTCACTCAATCTCTTTACCAATAGTCTCCTTGGGTTTTATGAATTTTGTCAAAATAAAGAGTTAAAGTAAAAAGTAGCATTAGAGAGAACATTGATCTTCAATCTATATAATTAACGATGCTCTCTATTTACGTTAAAAATGGTAACTAAAAATAGAGAACATAATTGGAAATGCTCTTAGTAAATCTTTAGTGACCATTTGGGTCGGGTTAATCGAGATGATGGTCTAGTAATTATCAATAGAAAAGTTAGGGATTTAACATTTGATATTAGTAAATCTCTATTATTATTTTTTTAATCCCTAGGCATGATTCTAATTTAACTTTTCATAAAGAATTTTAATTTTATGTATTCAAGCTTTTCTAACTTTTTTTTAAAAAAAATTTTATATCCTTCCGAAGTTTTTCTTTGGATTTTAAAAATAAAAAAAAAGTCTAACATGAATAAATAAAAAAATTGAAAAAAATGACTCCAGAATAAATAAATAAATAAAATAAGAAAAATTTTGATAATTTTTTTATTTTTAAAATAAAGTATAAAAAATTTGAAAAGTATTTTTCAACTATAAATAAATAAATAAATATTTTTTAAAAAAAATTATGATTTTTGCAAAATTTTAATTTTTTTTTAAATTGGAACCAATATACATCTGACACGTGCATTTCTAAACTTTTAAAAACCGAATTTAACATAAAATTAGTAATAGAATATGGTATGACACCATTTTTTAGAATGAAATAAAATGGATTAATTAATAAGATTGAATCATTTATACAATAATAATAAAAAGATACACTCATATGTGTTACATCCAACACTTGACATGTATCATCCTGATTAATTAATTAATTATTATTATTATTTGCCATGTCAACGTGATTTCATATTTTTGGCTTGTTTTCAATTTTTTATTCATTCACGTTAGACTTTTTTTGTATTTTTTTCTAGTTGATTTTTTATTTATTTTTAAAATCCAAAGAAAAACTTCCGGAAGGATATTAACTTTTTTAAAAAAAAGTTAGAAAAGCTTGAATACATAAAATCAAAATTCTTTATGAAAAGTTAAATTAGAATTATGCTTAAGATAAAAAAAAAATACACATTTACTAATATCAAGTGTTAAATCTATAACTTTTTTTACTGATAATTATGAGAACATCCTTTGATTTACCTGACCCAAATGATCACTAAATATTTACTAATCAATTTGCTATAACAACTTGGAAGTTCGGAACTAAACTAACCACTGATCATTAATTTTATAGCTCCTAAATCCAAAATGTATTGTAACCATAATATTTAGGGAAACGAAAAAATATTTAATATCAAAACACTCATTAATTTTAATAATAGAAAACATCGAAAAAATAATTAAAACCACCAAGTAATTCCCCCCAAATTCCAATTTAATGCTGAATTTCTCTTAAAAACTTAACTGACAGTGTAATGTAACCATACTTTTTGTACATTAAAAAAATATATAATATCAAAACACTAATTAAATCCAATAATAACAAGCATAAAAACAATAATTAAAACCACTAATTATTTCTGGCCCAAAATCCAAAATAATCTTAAATTTCTCTAAAAACAAAAAAAAAAAAT